GATATAATTTATTATTAGGCTAATATAATAAAGGGATTAAGAAATAATCTTATTTTTTTTTTCTATACTCTTTATATTAATAGTATTAATATAATATCTATAAAATACTAAGGTATTTCTTATATATTAAGTAAGTTTATATATTATCTTATATATTAAATAATACTTCTAGGTATTATAGGTTCTTAATTATTATTTAGTAATATATATAGATATATATATCTTATATATTAATAGTATTTATATATTCCCTTGCGGTCTAAATATATTATTCTTATAATATATTCTAATATTAGTTTCCTTATTTATTATAGAGTTATAAGTAATATTCTTTTTTTTATAAATTATTATTTATCTTAGGGTTTTATTAATTATAGATCTAGGCTATAATTAATTATTATTAGGCTTTAGCTTTAGCGCTATAATTAAGATCTTTATTATATTATTTAATTTATCTTATTATTATAATAGTCTTAGTATTAAGGTCCTTATTAGGTTTATTTGTTTATTTAAGTAATAATTTTTATCTTAATTTATCTATAAGATAGAATTATTCTATCTTTAGAGGTTTTATTATAATATATTATAGCTTTAGCTAGGGGTAATTATTATACCTAAATTATTCCTTAGTAAGGTATACCTAGCTATAAGGCATAATAATTTCTCCTAATTCTAAACTAATATTATTATACCTAGTCTAAGCTATACTAAGTATTTTAATTATTTAAAGAGCTATTTATAGTTTATTATTAACTTATATAAATCTTATTTATTTTTTATCTTTAAGGAGTTATTATTATTATAGCTAATAATAACCTTCCTTAATATTATATTATTTTTTATAATAGATTTTCTTAATATAATTTATTTTATAGTAATATTAATATTTAAGTCTATAATAATTATATTTCTTTTATTAGGTTACTCTAAGTTTTATAGGTCTTATATAAGTTCTATAAGATATATTATTTTATTAATATTACCCTTAGTTAATATTAAACTAAGGTTTCTAATAATTTTCTTTATTATTATAGGGGTTCTAGAGTTTCTTTTAAGAGAATTATTAATTATTAATCTTAATTACTTAGCTAATATAATTAATAAGGTTATTAAGCTAGTCTTCCTTATAGAATATAGCTTATACCTTTTTCTTAAGTTTATTAAAGAAAAAGGATATTAAGGGTTCTTAGTCCTAATTAAGCTTTAAGGTAAGCTAAAGGTACTTAATACTATATTCTAATATAGAGCGAGTTTATTAAAGTATCTTAATTTCTTTTTTTACTTAGGCTTTTTTATTTATTATTTTAAAAGCTTATTAAAGTATAGCTTTTAAGGCTTTAAAGCTAGAATAAAGGTTTATAGTCTATAGTGAGTATTTATTAAGTAGTTTAATAAGGTATTTTTTTATAATAAGTTTAAACTAGGCTATAATATACTTAATAAAATACCCTATAATATATTAGACCTTATTAGATATTATAATAAACTAAATATAGTAATAGAATATAAATATATATAGCTATATAAGAAATATTAATAATTTATATATAATATTATTAAATTTCTCTAATTATTCTAACTTTAGGATTTCTTTAATATTTTTACTTTTTATAGTAGTAATTACTATATTATTAATATTTTAAATATTCTTATAGTATTATTAATTTTAAATTTACTAAGTAATAGCTATATAATTAATAAGTCCTCTAAGTTTTTTTATTTTAGTAATTATAATAATAACTTAGGTATAGAGTTACTTAACCTCTTTATTATTATTATTTATTTCTTTATTGCTATTAAGATTAGCCTAAGCTAATACAATAGGGATAAATAAGTAATTAATAAGTAAGACCTATTAATAATTATTACTAAGAATAGCCTAAGTAGCTATTATATTTAATATTATTTAAGGTAATATAAGTAATCCTTTAAATAAGAGCTATTAATATATAATAAGAGGATATTTCTTAAGGGATAAACTAGTTATATTAGTTTATATTAGTAAAAAAGAATATTATATAACCTTAAAAGATAATATAATATTATATCTAGTAATATACTTAAGGTATTAAGTATAATTAAGTTATATTAATAGCTAAGGTAGTTATTATATAAGAAAATATAATAAGCATATTTTATATATTTATTTAGTCTTTGGGTTAAATATAGTTAAGTCGAGTCGAGTTATCGGCGTTTAACTTATATAGTCGAGGGAAATCGAATTAATTTTATTTAACTTATATATCTTCCTGCCCTATAATTAGCTAACGTAGTGGGGTTGGCTTTCTGCCCGGCGTTATTGCCCTCGACTATGTCATGGCCGTGATACTTAAGATAATTATTATAAAAATAAGTATATTATATCTTATTAATAAGATTAATATTAAGGTTCTTATATTAATAAAGGGTTATAATAATATCTTTTATCTTAGACTTAGAGGTAAAAAATCTAAATCTTTTTATTTAAATAATAAAGGCTATAATAGCTTTTTATTTTTTATTTATAAAGACTTTTAGTCTATTAACTTAATAAAGCATAGATCTAATCTCTAGTCTTCTTATAATCCTCTAAATAAAGATAAAAAAGGATCTAAGGTAATAAGTATTAATAATATAAAATAAGAGAAATTAAATTATATTAATAGAGGTATTATAATAAAGGCCCTAAGTATATTATATATATAATATTATAATTTCCTAGGTAGCCTTAAGATTTACCTTATTTAATATAATAAATATAAATATAAAAGAGGTATTTTTTATTAATTAGTATTATAAAATATAGCTAAAATAGGTAATAATTATATATAAGTAAGGATATTATTAAGTATGGGGTCTATATTATAATTTTATAGTTATATTATAATTTTATAGTTATATTATAATTTTATAGTTATATTATAATTTTATAGTTATATTATAATTTTATAGCTAACCTAGCTTATGAGCTTAGCTCGCCTAGGTCGCTAGACCTATATAAGCCAACGGGTAGGTTATAATATTATAATATATTAAAGATCTATTCTTTATTATAATTATAGCCTGGCCCTCGATGGGTTAACTAAGCCTTAAGATCATATTATGCATGACAGGGACGCTGGGGAGCGATTTTCATCTGCAGGGGTGTCACTGTCCACCAACGCTGGCATTGCTCGAAGACCATCCAAGCGACCAGGCCAAGGCCATTGCATCGTCGACATCCGAATTAGTGACTTCGATCACTTCTATCAAATAAAGGCAAATAGTCAGACTGTGCGTCGGAATCAAATGACTGTCTCTTAGAAGAAATGTCGTTTGCAACATCGTTGACCTATTCTTCTTGAAGCTTAGATAACGTCGTCAGGCTCCTTGTATATTGATCATGGGCATCCAACATTCCCAAACATAGCTACTTGCTCAGGCTTCGTGCCGGGGGCGGGGGGGTGTTTGGGACGGTTCCATTCCAACAACAACTTTATTAATATCTCGTGATAACCACCAACACCAACCAATCTCAAGAAACTAAAGGTCAACATGCTCTTCATATGCGCTCTGATGAGTCTCGTCTCCAAACTCATTTCCACAGCGTGGTGTGATGATTTCAACCGAGTCCTCACGTGGAGCTACCGGGGCTTCGCCGACTAGGTGGTGTAGATGAATGTCTTTTGCTCAAAGTCGGTTCGGTCGGCGAATGAACCCACCAAGTCACAATCTCCGTTCCGTTGCTCCGCGGCAGCGGCTACACGTCTACGGTTCTGTGCAAATGAGATGGCCCAGTAAAGTCCCATCAGGCCGGCACAAATACAATAGCACGCTAACATGGCGACGAATCCTCCAGTGTATGCCGGAGCCTGGGATTCCTGGAAGGTCTGGGGCCCAATGAGGTTGCCGACGGCGTAACCAATGTAAAGGAGAGCATACTGCACACTCTTCTTTGTGCTACCAGCTGTATTAGCCTGAGCCAGGGAAATGCCAACAACGTAAGGACCAAAGTAGGTGTAGAGCTGGGGAGCATATTGGTCAGCCAGCGGTAGGGACTAGGGACTAGGTATCTGGATTGAGAACTCACCATGTAAATCCCCAGCATCTGAGGGCCAATATCTTCCCTTGGAATCGTGTAGACCATGATTGCACCGGCAATAGGAATAATGCATGCCAGCATACTGGCGAGACAACGCCGGTTGTGCCACTTTCCTGCCACCCAGGACCAGAAGAAGGTCGTGAGAGTGAATGCGACATCAGTCGGCATATTGAGGAGCGAGGTTTGCTGCTCCGTGAATCCAAGGTTGTTGATGATGATGCTGCTGAAGGTTTGGAGTCCTCCGTTGGGAATGTTGATGGAGATGTTGAAGCAGAACAAGATCCATGTCCTGGGATCATAGAGAGCCTCGCGCGCTTGGTACCACTTCCATTTTCTATTGGCAATTCCAGTCTGGTTCTCGGCAAGGCGTTGGACGATGTGGTATTTCTGTCGCTCGTCCAGGAATTTGGCATTCATAGGGGTGTCGGGGAGGTACCACAGAACGAACAGGGACCAAGCGAATGAGATGGAGCCTGTTGGTAAAATTAGGAAATTGTCGTGAGTTGGGTTTCGGAGGAAGCATGCCGTTGACAATATAAATGTATTGCCAGACACTGAGAGGCGCACTGGCCGGAATGTGGCTGAGGGCCCATGACAAAAAGCCGTTGTGGATGGAACTTGCGGATGCAAATACGAGGGCATTGCGAGGGGGCTGTTCAGACTTCTTGTAGAATCCTGCAATGATGATGGAGATGGAGGGAACAATAATAGCCTCGAGGGCACCTGAACGGGTTTATTAGTGTTATTTGGCCTAGTCCATGGCATCGGACTTACCCATGAGGAACCGCAGGGCCATCAGCCCGCCCCAGTTGTGAGTCGCAGGCGTGATGAGTGCCATGGCAGACCAGCAAAGAGAACAGCAAGCCAGATACTTGGCTGAGGGCAGCCTGTGGACCAAGTACATGGATGGCCACATACCAGCCACGGCACCAATGGCCAGGATGGAACCGGCCCAAGAATACTGCTGGCCTTTGAGATTGAGATCTTCCTTTAGGCCGTAGATGGCAGCATTGCTCAGGGCGACCTTGTCAACTGCGCCGAGATTGGCAGTCATGAAGAGCTAGAGTCACCCAAGTCAGCGATTGGAATGGATATGACCCGAGGAAAGGTGTAGGATTAGGAAGTTTCAACGCACCATTGGCAACAGAATCCAATCCATCTTCCGCAGCGTCTTCTTCTCCTCCTCAGGAGTCAGAGGTGCTAGGTCAGCGCAGCGAGAAAGCCACTGTGCAGCCTCATCCATGGATTCCGAGACGCCCTTCTTAACGCTCTCGCTTGCCTCGAGGGCATCGGGCATCGCGTCTTCCTTCTTCGACTCCGACATTGTATGAAAGAAAAGGCTAGAGGGGGGCAGTTGGTGCAGAAAGGGTCGAGATGAGGTAGGGGCTCAGTAATGCACTGTAAGGAAACGTTGGGGATTCTCGTCAGGGCCATGCAGATACTTATAGATGGATGTCGCTCAGGAGGTTATCTGTCGCCGGATACAGGACCGGGTCGACCTTCCTCCACGACATGACCATAATGAGGGCAGCGGGGCAAAGCGACCAGCCACCCTGGACTAAAGGTAAGGTGAGGTTGCTAGTTCCCTATCCTGTTCTTGTCATTGGATGAACCTACACCCACTCTAACCTTGAGGAGGCCATCCCCGCGCTGCCGGAAAATAGTGAGGTTAGATGCCCAACCTTGCCCCGGTTGTTAACCCTTTCTCGAGTCATGATTGTTGAAGATGTGAGTGCCGATGGGACGTACTTGGTCGACAAATCAGAATCAATACATGCAACTAGTATTCATGCTCGCAGACAAATCTAGACTTTTGACTTTAATGACAGTTGACAAAGGGGTCATGCACTTTTTAGGGGCTGAGGCTTGAGCTCGGAAAGACCATTCTATACAGGGATCAAGGCCTCACGATCAAGATGCTATACCAACATCATGATACAAGGAGAAAGACGGGGCTTCTGGGGGCGGCTCCGAATCCTACTCATGGATTGTGGCGTCAAGACCAGGCGCTGATAGAGGCGCTTTGGGAAGGTGTACAAGTAGTTATGGGATGAATGATATCAACAGAGGCTCAGATTATGGGGAGACTTGTGGAGTCATCTACATAGTCCACTCGGAATTCTTAGATTCTAGCACGTCGAATCGCAGCCTGGTCTGCTTGGATGTCCCTTCCCAGATCAAACGGCGTGAGCATCTCGCATCCTTTGGTCGTCACAAGGGCCGTGTCGCCGTAGCGAGCACCCCCCACGCCGTACTGGTAAACACCTGGCTCGATGCCGACAACGTCGCCCTCTTGAAGCACAGTCTGCTCGCCCTCCATGATACGGAATCCAACACCACCGCATCCGATAGAACGACCCGTTCCGTGCTGCATGCCCTCGGTAAATCCGCGACGTGCAATGACTTCCGCTGCGGCAGCGTGAACCTCTTCTGCTCTTACTCCTGCGCGAACCACCTTCCACGCCGCTGCTGAAGCCTCACGCGCGGCGCTGAGTACATTGAGAACATCCTCAGGAAGCTCCTTGGTGCCCACTGCGATAGGACGGTCGAAACACATGTCGTGTCCAACCAGTGTAGGGGTGCAGCAGCAGATCTGAACAAGCTCACCATCCCTCATGATACGGTTCGAGGCCACGGAATGGGCATGCGCCGAACGGATGCGGCCGCTACCAACGACAGTGAAGCTGGAGCCGAGCGGCGAGTTGTTCTCGTCACCCTCGAGATACTTGGATGCCTGCTCCACGGCAGCAGTGTAGCCGCGGAGAGCAACTCTCCACTCCGGGACACCAGGAGCAGTGGCCTCCCGAGCTCCCTTGAACTTTTGAGCAGCAACATCAGCACAGCTTCTGAGAATCCTGGTTTGTGCCGCATCGCCGTCGCGGCGAACTTGACTGATCAAGGTAGAGGCGTCCACAATGTCTGCTGACGCCAGCTTGTTCTTGAGTAACTCAAGATTAGCTGCCGTGACGGTATTGGAATCAAGACCGATCATGGCAGCCTTTGGAGCCACTTTTTGAATGTATGAGGCAAGGGCATCACCGAACGATCGGTACATTCCCGGCTCGTCCCAATCACCCCATTCAGCCACGATCTCTTGGGTGCATTTCGTGCGGATGATGGGGGCTTCGATTCGGGGTGAGATGAACGCAGGCGCAGCGTTGGGCCGTATGACGAGGAAAATAGGCCTTACATCCGGCAGGCCATCGAGTCCGGTGAAGAAGCGGTGGTTCGCTGTGCCGTGGAGCACGAGAAGATCCATTCCGGCCCCCTTGATTGCATTTTGCACTCGGACGACCCGGCTGCGAATATCTGCTTGTGTCGGGAGGATTGACAGAGCCATGGCTTCAGATCTCTTTTCTCTGTGATGGATGCTGAGGTTGGTAGATAACTGGGAGGTAAAGAGTAATCGAAGTAAAGGTATCAGGGTTTCTATTGTTTGGTAACTCGTGGTTGAACCTCGTCTGATACTTATCCTCGTGCCGGCGCTTCTTAGAGGGGAAAAGAAAACCTCGCAACAAGAAAGTAGAAGGTCGATACGCTCCGAAAGTCGTTTCATTGAGCATTCTGACGAATCTCTAGGTAGGTGGTTTCGCGTGATGCGCTCCATGATTAACATGGTGGGGACACCATGACGGTTTTGACAGTCTCTGGGAAGAGGAAGGTCGACCCGTCAGGCTAATGACGCAGGTTAGCACTCCTAGTGAAGATCGGTCCACCAATGACAACTGCTGTGCAGACTTCTGGAGCTGACTTTGGCTTTGCCCGATCTAGATCGTACCGACCTTCCCTCAAAATACAACCAGGGCCAGAAAAGAGGGTCTAAAATGTCGGTTCGCCAACGACAACCAATGAACCGATCATTTATGATTCTTGCAAAGCACGACGGCAGGAAACCTGAATTGAGATTTGGGGATTAGATGTGTCTAACCCTGCAATGCTGGAGTTAGTTACAGGTCACAGGATACCATCAATCCCACCTACGGGTCCGGTCTCGGAGCGCATCGACCTTCCAATCCATGGCTCGAGTTGGAATTCGTGTGTGTGATGAAGAGACATGATGCTATTTACGTGACTACCCGAAATATATATTTAGTCACATTGGTGCACAGTGATAACTGCCGAAACGTCCTGTACGCATTTCAACTCTACTCTCTCCTTAGAACCACCCTCCACGATAAGACGGCCAGGCCAATACGAGACCATGGCGGTTCCACGCGAAAGCACCAACATTGTCGTTGTTGGAGGAGGCGGCACAATAGGTTCTTCAACGGCTCTCCATCTTATTCGATCCGGATATAAGCCTACCAACATCACCGTCTTGGACGTGTATCCAATTCCGTCGTCTCAATCAGCCGGCCACGACCTCAATAAGATTATGAGTATCCGAATTTTAAACAAGCCGGATTTGCAGCTATCCTTGGAGGCTCTGGATATGTGGAATAATGATCCATTGTTCAGACCCTTCTTCCACAACGTGGGCATGGTGAGTCATTAACCCAGCTTTGTTATCACCATCATCTTAGTCTCATACTTACCCACTTGGAGGTTAATTGCTCCTCGTCAGATAAAGGAATCCAAGGTTTGCGACGGGCCCGTCAAAATCTGATCAATGCAAAGAGCGACCTAGAGAAGACGAATGTCTGGCTAGATAACGAAGATGAGATTCTGGCCGAGATGCCAGCTTTCACGCGAGAGCAAGTCAAAGTAATTTTCATCCGCGAAGGATGGTAAAATGAAGCTTACGCAACCCAGGGATGGAAGGGGGTCCACAGTCTGGACAGCGGCTGGCTTGCTGCAGCCAAGGCCATCAACGCTATCGGAAATTTTCTTCGAGACCAGGGCGTCAAGTTTGGATTCGGCCGGCACGTATGACCAGAACTCTGAAGGTACCTCACATTAACATGCACCACAGGGCCGGGACTTTCGCTCAACCTCTCCTGTCTGATGATGGGAAGACTTGCACTGGCGTACAAACACTCGATGGCGCAAAATACTATGCCGACAAGGTAGTTCTAGCTACCGGTGCTTGGAGCCCGGCTTTGGTCAATCTCGAAGGGCAATGCGTTTCAAAGGTAAGAACATGTAACCACTTGCACAGTCGTGGCTTAGGATTCCTCGCTAACGGGTTGTTTAGGCCTGGGTTTTCGCTCAGATTCAACTCACCCCTGAAGAGGCAGCCGAGTTCAAGAACGCACCTGTGATTTACGACGGTGAATACGGCTTCTTCTTTGAGCCAACGGAGTAAGTGGTTTCCTTGAATGCAGTTGAATTGACAACATGTTAAATATACCTCCAGGGAAAACATCATCAAGGTGTGCGATGAGTTTCCCGGCTTCACTCGCTTTCTTTCGCACAAGCCGTTTGGTTCCGATGTTGCGAAGCAGATTTCCGTTCCCCGATCTCACTCCCAACATCCCACAGATACCTACCCTGACGCTTCCGAAGGATCCATTCGCAAGGCAGTTGCTAGATTCCTGCCACGTTTTAAGGACCGACAACTCCTAAATCGGAGTATGTGCTGGTGCACAGATACTGCTGATGCCAACCTGTTGATTTGCGAGCACCCCCGGTGGAAGAACTTCATCCTGGCAACTGGAGATAGCGGGTAAGCCACGAGCCAAAACTCTACAGACGTCATTCCACTGATAGTTTCCGCAGACATAGCTTCAAGTTTCTGCCCAACATTGGAAAGCATGTAGTCGAGCTGATCGAGGGAACCCTCTCTGAAGACCTGGCGTATAATTGGAGATGGAGGCCTGGTGGTGATGCTCTGAAGTCTGGTCGAGCTGCTCATGCAAAGGATCTGGCTGATATGCCAGGCTGGAATCATGACCAAACCAGCAAGCTCTGAGCGAAGTTTAGTAATGCTATCACATCCTTTTATAACTTGTAACTCCGTGGCAATCGTTTGTAATCCAGATTTGATGGTAGGCTAAGTTGCTTACGCGATTAAAAAAAACTCATATTGGTGTGTTCTGACAGGTGGTACTCATGTGCATGTATCGGACAATCGACAGGAAGCCGAGACTCCTCCAACACCAATAGCCGATGATCATCACACACATTCACTTCCATACCACGGAACCTCGCACGGTAGTACTCAGGTAATCATGGGATTTACACTCTATTTTCCATCTTTAATACACTTTCGCATCAAATACATCCATTCAAAGGCAAAGGCTCGCAATCTTGTGGCCTCCTCCAGTCAATCACGTAGTACAGAATTCGAGAAACTCAACCCCGCATCCAAGCAAGCCGTAGTCTCAGGCTAGCCAGGAACGTGGAGCGAGACGGGTCTACTGTGAAACCGAATCTCTTGGTAGTAGTCTTGCTTCTATGGTTAACTTGAAGATATGGCAATGACGGTGATGTCGGCAATACGGCACATGAGGCGGGGAAGGTGGATGACTTTACTCCTGGCATTGCGTACGACTGACCTCGAAAAGGCCTGTTTTGTTTATTGCTCATCATGCGCTTACAGACATACCTGGTTCTCGAAATGCTACAACTTATAGGCGACCCAACCCGGATGAGGCCAGGGGGATGTTGCACAGCGGGCTACTACCCAATCTTTAGTACCTAATGTAACCTCTTCCCCACGTTTCGGCCCGCCCTTTCCCTCTATGGCATTAGTACAATTGCTTCTCGGCGTATCAGGAGATGACGGGACGGATAAGACGGAAGTTAAGCTTCGACTTTTTTATACCTAGTTGGAGTGCTCCCGAATGGCCTCACGGGAGTCATGAGGTAGTGGTCCTAGCCAGAAGGAGATATCAATTCATCGGAAGTACGTAGGCCGTTCCGAATGAAAGGCAGCATTTATTGGAAAATCCCTACCCCAGATTTGAAGTATGTATTCACGCGCGCCAATGAATAGCTCACGCACCATCCCATGTGGACGTGCTACCGGTTTCTGGTACGCGTGCCAATAGGCATCGTGGGGTTGATGTTGCTGGTCGTACATAAATACCCCAGGCTTGAAACCGAAAGACATGAGAATAAGAGACCAGAGATTAGACGAAGACGACTTTTATCACAACACTGACTTACTTCGGAGACTGTGTGAGCTTCTTGTTAACAACTCCGAAACGCTGGGACTTGCGTCTCGTCTACGGTTCTCTTACCAAAGCAACATCAATATTTTCAAATCAGACATGCATCCGAAACTGAATTTCGAACGCAGCTCCATGCTTGCTCTCAGCTTGGTTGCCGTTGCACCTCTTGTCACCGCTGGGCCCTGTGACATTTACTCCTCCGGCGGGACACCCTGCGTGGCGGCACACAGCACCACCCGGGCACTGTACAACGCCTATACCGGCTCCCTTTACCAGGTAAAACGCGGCTCCGACGGTGCCACGACCAACATTGCGCCGCGATCTGCCGGTGGTGTTGCCAATGCTGCTGCCCAAGACTCGTTCTGCGCTGGCACAACCTGTCTCATCACCATCATTTACGACCAGTCCGGTAAAGGCAATCATCTTACCCAGGCTCCTTCTGGCGCTTTCAAAGGCCCGGATGTTGACGGCAAGGATAACTTGGCCAGCGCCATTGGCGCACCGGTCACGCTGAACGGTCAGAAGGCCTATGGTGTCTTCATCTCGCCCGGCACCGGGTACAGGAACAATGCCGTTAGCGGCACTGCTACAGGAGATGCGGCGGAGGGCATGTACGCTGTGCTTGACGGGAGTCATTACAACGGTGACTGCTGCTTCGACTATGGCAATGCCGAGATCAGCAATACCGATACGGGCAACGGCCATATGGAGGCCATCTACTTTGGAGACAGCACCGTGTGGGGCTCCGGCTCCGGCTCTGGCCCCTGGGTCATGGCCGATCTGGAGAACGGCTTGTTCTCCGGCGCTAACCCTAAGCAAAACACCCAGGATCCTTCAATCTCATATCGATTCCTCACTGCGGCTGTAAAGGGGAGGCCAAACCAGTGGGCGATCCGTGGTGGCAATGCTGTGGCCAACTCGTTGTCGACATACTATAGCGGCGCGCGTCCAACCGTGTCTGGCTATAACCCCATGAGCAAAGAAGGAGCCATTATTCTCGGCATTGGTGGCGATAACAGCCATGGCTCACAAGGCACCTTCTACGAGGGCGCGATGACCTCTGGCTACCCATCTGATGCCACTGAGAACTCGGTGCAGGCGAACATTGTAGCCGCCAAGTATGCCACGACGTCATTGACCAGTGGCCCGGGTCTCACTGTTGGTTCTTCTGTCTCTCTAAGAGCCACCTCGAGTTGCTGCACGACACGTTACATTACACACTCTGGCTCCTCAGTCAACACGGCGGTGGTCTCGTCATCTAGCTCTACCACCCTCAAAAAGCAGGCCAGCTGGACAGTCCGTACCGGCCTAGCCTTTAGCGGGTGCTTCTCTTTTGAATCAAACGACACCCCCGGCAGTTTCCTACGACACTCTGCCTTCCAGCTTCAACTCGACGCCAACGACGGGGGTAAGCTATTCCATGAAGATGCTACGTTCTGCACCCAGGCTGGTCTCAATGGTCAGGGCAACAGTGTCCGATCCTGGAGCTATCCCACCCGTTACTTCCGCCACTATAACAATGTACTCTACATCGCGAGCAATGGCGGCGTTAATACATTTGATGCTACTGCGTTGTTTAACGACGACGCGAGCTTTGTAATCGGCGCTGGCTTTGCTTGAGGCCTGACAGGTCTCCGTGGTGTAGGAGCTAGCTCTCGTAGCAGGGGAGTTGTGCGATGGGAAGTACGAGTTACAAAATAGCGATCTGATAAGGCTACCAAAGCTGAGGTTTTCGATTGCCTTTAGAAGACTTCGCCCGCAATGAGAACTCGCTATGATATAGTATCTGTTTGCTTCAATTTCAAGAAGATTTCCCCCACAGCCTAGTGTATTCAACCGGCCCATAATCTGTCTAACCGATTCTTTGTTTCCTTCTCACCCAAACCTCTTTATCTACTCCTTCCGACACGCCCTCTACTTTCTCGGCAGGCTCTGTCTCTTTGATATCTCGTAATTGGACCTCCCACACCTTGAGTCTATAGGATCCTCTATCAGACATTCCAGAAAACACGTCGAAGGACCAGCCATGTTTGGGACAAGTCAATCCTGCGCTAAGAACCATCCCAAAGTCTTCAATATCGAATGGAGTGCCTTGTGATAAAGGGTATGAGGAATGAGGACAGGACTATGACGCTACATTAGATATGACACACAAAATCGAAGGGCTGGTTTACATGATCGACGGCATGGAATTTGCCCTTGTACTGAAAGACGAGAACTTGATCCGTCAACTCGCCTGCGAGGGCATCATCTCCAACGGGTACTTCTTCCGACTTGGAGCTATTCTCTTTTGAAACATGGAACGCTTTACATCCCGGTATTGACTTTGTGTTGCACTGCCGAAATTTTGATAGGTTGCCGGCATCATCAGCCCCAATGTCTGGGAACGATGAGCTGTGTCCTACAAACGCCCAATCAGCGCCCTGGCGAAAGAAGGGTCGAAACGCATTCATTGGAGATGGCCTTTTAGGTTCCCATGAAATGATTTGCTATTTGGCGGGATTCCCCGAGTTTGTTGCTCTTCTCGAAATTTTCGCGGCTTCGATGGCGCAAAATTGCTGGGCGAGATGCCTCGAGATAAGGAGCATGTGATAAATCACGTGCTCTTCGGCGTTGTCCCCGAGCCTAACCTAGAGGTCACCAACTTGATTTCTGATCTTTTGCATTGAGTTCAACGCAGCTAAGTGTAGAAAACATTTAGGTGCGCTTTACACTATGTTGAAATCAGTTCTTTTAGCATAGTCCTTCGTTAACTGCCCGCATCATAACACTATTACCCCCCTAGAGTCCCCATATGAAAAAGAGGAAGTGGAAGGACATGAAGAGGAGAAAAAAAAAAAGATAAAGTCATTAAACAACTGGAATCAAGCATCTCTTTGTTTCTTTTCGAACGCCTATTCGCTTACTGCAGACTATACTTCATTGGGGCACCATCTTTCTCTGCGCTCCTCAACATGATTTCCACAAACTCCACATCTGCCATGCCCTCTTCGGCAGATTGCAAAGGGTTCTGTTTCCCAGAGACCAAACTCTCTGCCCAGGCTGCGATTTCCTCACTGACGCCACTAGTTTCGGGAAATTCCTTGACAACTGCTTCACCACCGGCCGGCTTAACAATGACGGTGTTCCCAGACACCTTGACGGTGCCTCTCTCAAGGCCAAAGTCCCACTCAGAGGCTTCGATTTGAGACCCAAATGAGAATTGAACAGTTCCACTTGTGCCCGACTTTGTCTTGACAAGAGCGTTGACGGTGTCAGCCGGAGGAAGATGTTTTTGTGTCAAACTCGTCAGGGCGGAAACAGACGCTGCGCTTGAATCACCCTGAAGGAACAACCTGGTGGCAGCAGCATAATGAACACCTCCATCGAGCAAGGGGCCACCTTGGTACTGCGCCTGTCCCCGCCACGGTGTCGAATACCAAAGGTTATCTGGCGGTAACAAACAGAAGAATTTGACGTTGAAATGATCCACCTTGCCCAGTTTCTTTGCCTGGTCCGCAGCGTAGATATACTTTGGTATAAACCTATAGTTCTCAGCAAGAGAAAAGGTCACTCCATTCTTCGACGCAGTATCGATGAGCTTCTTAGCTGCGGCGACGTCTGGTGCGATAGGCTTCTCGGCCAATACATGCTTCCCCGCTTTGAGTGCTTGGTCGATGAACTCGGGTTGGGCGGAAATAGGAAGTGCGATGATGACTGCTGATATATCTTTTCGCAAGAGAAGATCTTTGTATGATTTTCCCTCGCCAGAATCGGACGAGTATAGGTTGACCTCGCCTTTGGTATTCAGAGTCGCTGTGTCCTTGGCTGACTTCAAAGACCGCGAATAGATGGCCTTGAGGCTCAAAGATGGGCATTTCATGATGCCGGGCTACAACCTCTTAGTTTTTGCTTTTAGAATTTCGTAGGTGGACTCACCATGTGCTCCATCTTGGCAAAGATGCCACCTCCAATGAGGGCAATACCAATTGGGTCCATGTTTGATGATCTCGTGTTTACAGGTTTGTCACAACATCAAGGTTTAGATTGGCAAACATCAGTGTGAGAAACGCAAAGAGCAGCCTCTTTATAAATCGAGATGAGGGGGCAACACCGCCCTCCTATTCACGTCCCCCCCTACACCTTTGTGCTAGTCAGCAAGACGCGCATGGCTAGCTGCGCGGAGGACACCTCTGCAATTAGTAACACAAGCAACAGAAGCAATCAGGGATCGATCAATAAGTGATATTATTGTTCCCTATGGCATGGAAGACGCTTGGGTTTCCCTGCCGCGCCCTGCTGACAAATCTCGTTCAATTCTTGCGTGAAGTGGAATTGGTTTCCTAACTAGGCAATAAAACCAGACCGTGGAGTAGTGGGCATAGTGACTGCTTTGAGTTATCCAACGCGCCGCTACTTGTCGGGCACAGATAGAAACCTATTTTTATTCTTCTTGCAAAGTTAAGATTCGCTCTCTATGTATAACTTGTATCATCTCGGGTTGAGGAGATGGTTGTGCGCAAAGCTGGAGTACTAGGATAAATCTTGAGCATGACCACCTCAAAGCACACCATAAGGACAGTCTCCGCCCTCAAAAGAAAAAGAAAATAGTTTGCTATTGCAATGTAGACGTAGATTAATAGGATGTGTGTGTTAGTGCACAACTGCTACTGGGGGAGGCTCAGTTGAGAAGGGCCTGTTCCGACGCGCCCGAAGTACGACCAAACTTCAAAACACCAAAAAGAAACCATCTCGACGTCTCTAACGGCCGTTCTAATGCGTAATCTGGGAATCGAACCCAGGGCTCCCCGACGTTACTCGAATGGCAACGGAGAATTTTACCACTAAACCAATTACGCTGTTGTGATGTTGTTGAGACCCATCTCGCTGGTGGGTTGTGGTGGTGATCCAGTCAGCAGGGATACATTAGGCCTCGACCTCCTCTCTTCTCGCAAAGATACACGAGGGGATAGGTTTCTTTCCCGTCTCGTACTATAGCATTGACTAGGTAGCTACTGCCTTACAATTGGCCGTGGCTATCGATCAGCCCAAGCAATGGTGAGAGCGCATGCTATGCTTTCACTTATGTATCAAAGTGCTGCAGGTCAGTACATCCTCTCGAGAAGCTCATGCTCGTTCAATAATTCCCACCGCTCTATTGGCACCATCCCTAATCCCTGTCGAGGTAATTTTCCGACACAGATAATTCCACCATGCCGTCAATCCGGTCGATTTCTCGCCTACCGACCTGAAGTGCCTTATCTTGTCACTATCATCTCTGATCTTAAACTGCATTCTATACAAGTGTGTTTCTTCCGTCTTTATGTTATGCATTCTCCCGGACCCTCAAAGCATGCATGTAGCATAATCTCTGCTTGCCCCTCACAAAACCCAGTCGCTCACTGAATTAAAGCATTTCAGCCCACTCGGCCCTCCAGCACTAGCTATCGCTCTCTCTACACAGCCTGCCTTGATCGTCAGAGGCAGAGTGAACGTCACTTCGTGGGTGGCCGTCCAAGATCCATCCGCGACCTCCCTATTGATCTTCCTCACATTCCACTCTGTGATCGCCCCACAGCCCTTCTCCTCTTTCTTTAGTTTCTCGCCGTTATCCGTCACCCAGTTGTTGGTGATGATGGTTATTTGGAAGAAAAATGAAAGGAGAAAGCCGTCCTCGAGGACTAGACAGTCAGCTCTTGGCGTGACGGGTCCTTGTGAACAAATTGGATGGTGGCTGCATGGACGAAGCGTGCATACCAAGCCATCTTTGTCGGTGGTCTAGAGAGAGTTAGTCCTTCACGATCTAGAAAAGGGAACAGAGAACTTACAATCGTTGGGGGATCGTTGCAATGAGATGGCATGCAGGTCCGCTGGCTTCTGCGTTAGATTCTGATGCTTGAGTATTATCTAGGGGACTTACACCATCACTTTGCGCGACAACCCTAAACACCTGGGGACCCAAAGGTGGGTCTGATGTGAAAAAGAACTCTACGTATGTGCCATCTGATCCGTACGTTAGTTTGTTCTGCCCCGTGAGTGGAGGGGAATCTTGGCGTCTCCCACTTGATGCTCATGTCTTTTCCCCCATCACCGCTAGCAAGCGTCGTCCCCTCATCCGAGGTTCCCACTCGCCAAGAACGGATATTCCCTCTCACGTCGATTGGGACGCCAAAGAACTGGATCGGGGGGAGAGACACCTCCCATTTCATCCCGGGACGGTCTGCCTCGGGAATGAAGACCCTTATCGAGTCCGCATTTGCGGGAGCTGAAGCTACAGCAGTCATGGTGTATGTTTGATAGCCTTGGACGCATTCTGGAGTTGCTGTTGTGGTCATTGTGATGGCTGGTGCTGGGACGCGAGGGGGTAGGGTTGTGCTGGAAGCAGTGGATATGAGGGTTGAGAAGGACGTTGATGTGGGCGGTTGAGTGGCCGATACTGTGCTGGATTCCACTGTTGATTCAGTGCTGGATGTCGTGCTGGATTCTATTTCCGATACTGTTCCAGTGATATCCGGGAGGCTAAAAGGCACATACCCTTGGAAGGAGTATGTCCCGATCGGGCCCCGTGCATCAGGAGTCGGCCTGAGAAGACAAACACCTCCGGTAAGGGAGGTTATAGTCGACCCAGAGACACTGCAACCGGTGACAATCCTGGTTGATGTGGTGCAGGTGGTTGTCGCACTGCCGTCGGCCGAACCGGTGCTGCAAGCGACAAAGACATCCGTGGCCGTCTCGGTAGCGTCGCATGTAGAACTGGAAGCTGACGTCTCGCGCTCCTTGGTCTTTGTTTTATCGTCTGGACGGCTCGACGGGTCGGGTTTGTTGTCTTCGGGAGGATCAGAGGGGCCCTGTGTACACTGACCAATAGAAGCCCCTAGCACCTGGATGCAGGGGAGGTAGAACGAGGGGAGGCCCGGAAGGTTGAAGACGACGTTGGTGATGGACGGCAGACCCCAGAGAATGATGCCCCCGAATGCCCCACCGCATCCTGGACATCCGACAAGCACTGGAACAACTGTCTCTTGGTCATCCTTGGTTGTAGTTATCCAAGTGTTGGTTGTCAAATCCGAGTTGGTGATGAGCTCGGTGGAGAATCCAGCCGGGGCTTCAGTCACGGTTCCAGTGATTGGGCTAATTGTGGTGGTTTCACTGGTCGTCTGGGACACAGATTGGGTAACGTCTTGGCCATCTGAGATGGGACTAGGCTCACTAGTTGAGCCAGAATCAGATCCGGGGGTTGAGTCTGAGCTGGGCCCAGTGGTAGTCGATGTAGGCTCGGTGGTGGAATCTGAACCCAGCCCATCAGAAGTAGTCAACCTTCCACTGCCACTTGTTGTGTCTGAGAGCGTAGGCAAGTCGGCGCTCCCGCTCTGAGCTGAGCCAGTGGTGGTAGTGGGAGTGTCTTGTGGTGTGTCAGAAGAACCAGTTGAACCGGAAAGCTCTGTCTCGGAAGATTCTACTGTGGTGGAGGGTTGAGACGACGAGTCACCAGCATCCCCTGGCGAGGGAAGGGTAGTAGTCTCCCCGTCGACAACCACGACTCGGTCAGAACCTAGAGAGATGGTATGGTGTCCGACTGTGTAAGCCGTTGGGGCCGGAGTGAGGGTAGTGTTGGCCAGGACAAGAACAGTGCCATCAACTACGCCGACGAGCCCAGAAGCAAGGGTGATTGTTTCGCGAACAACCCCCGTCTGAGTAGTCGTTGTGAGGAACGCATCTGAAGGGGCTGGCGTGCTGATGATCGCCGACAATGCAAGACCGTTTAGCGCGAGGAAGGAAAAGACTTTCGACAAGGCCATGGTTTGACTGGCACAGACGAAATCGCATGAGACTGGAGATCAAGGTGAATTGAGAAAGGTGAGCCAGTCGAGACTGAGAGAGTAAAACAATAAACCGGTAATGGGCAAGGGGAACCCGGTGCCGCCATTGAAGCAATCTCTCAGAGCCTGATTCTATACATGGAGTAACTTGGACCAATCGAGATGAGGGAGGACCGCCATGGATCCATCGCTAAAAAACTGAAACCTTTTATATCCCAGCTGAACTGCGCCGAGAGCCTCGAGTCGCACAGTTGGCGGCTTAGATTAAGCCATACACGATTATGACCCTATTAATGGAAAGAATATGGTCCTTGCCAAAGCGCTTATGCACTAATTCTCGTATCAATAAGATTAGGTAGGATTTGATAATGTCTTAGTCGTGAGACGAAAGTGCAGCAATGTGCAATGTGCAGCGCCTACATCTCGAATCAGCGATGTAGCCGGCTCGGCAGAGGCAGTCGATGGCATGGCGCAGTCCTAGGCCCCCGCATGTGGCTTCAAAATGCATGCCCCTGTAATAATGTCTTGTTCTCTCCTATCCCTTCACTTGTTGCATGACTACCAGGCTCGCGGGGGCTGTCTTGTGTAGGTGGCGGAGGGATAAAAGTCCCCAGCCCTACAAGAAGGGCCTGGCTGTTTTCCTGCGTAGCAACAGTCCTATCCAAGGCAGATCCCTTCAACCGCCTCAACAATGCATCTCAGACTTCATCAGGTGCTTCTGTTGCTGTTGAGCACCTGGCTCACAGTCTCCTTCTGCTTTTCCTTCCATGATGATGTATCATCATTTGCACGGCGAGATGAACCGTGAGTGACGCCCCCTCTAACATCAAATCCCCATAAGCGCTAAGTCCATCCACAGAAAGTGGTTGGCCCCCTTAAAGCGTGGATACAACCCATGCCGCAGCAGATGCAGTTCCAAGAGCTGCTGCCAACTCCCTCCATCCTCCTCCAACGAGGGAGACGCAGAAGGCGTATCTGTCCGCTCTCTAGATGCCCGGGCTTTGTTCGAGGTTGACGAAGACACCGTCGACGCCGAGATAGTCAGACGATTCGACGAGGGGAAGGTCAAGCTGATCTTCGACTCTGGTGCCGGTACCGACGACTCAACCTCGGCTTGGAAGCCCATCAGTGCCATCAACCCCAGGAGCAGGGCTTTTGACCTCGGTCTGAGCGCACTCTGCGGCTGCACCGGCCTCATCGTTTACTCCCAGAACGGAGCCTACGGGGCACACTTCTTCGAGGCCGCCGCGTGGGGACGTGGAGACGCTGCCTTCAAGGAGCATGTCGAAGACTTTCTCAAGAACGGTGCAAGAGGCTCGGGGGGACTTGCAGAGTTTACTGCACAGCTCACTAAGGACGGTGCAGACGTGGCAGCGTACATCCTAACTCCGCAGCAGGAGCTCCCTGATGAGGCTGAAGGGGCCCCAGGCTACGTCGAAGGCGAGCTCATGTACAAAGATCAGGTGCAGAAACTCGTTGACCTGCTGCCTGATATTATCCCTGGCCTTCGAGGTCATATCCAGGTGAACCATTACCAAGCTCTTGACGGCATGACAGGCGAGGATGGTGAAGACGTCAATCCCGGTCAAGCTAGACTCCTCGACACAACTGCCAGAGGCCGTATTCTGCTGCAATATGATCCTTCGAATAACGGAGTCAGAACGGTTCGTCTTTTTTTCGAGACAAAATTGATCTTTAATAGACAATTGGGTAACGCCGTCTAGAAGGAGTTGGTCTTGGCGACATGTGATGTATTAGCTAGTTTGGACAGAAGTGAAGTATCCCATAGCATTCAATCCTAAACCTGTTTTCCTATTTCCTAAGAAATACTGGAACCGATATGTTGTTGCTCAAATAGTATGGACTCAATCTCCGTGCTCCAACTGCAACCCGTGTGGGTGTACAGTTTGACCCTCAGGCACACATGTTCGGGGTGTATTAAACTAACGAGGCGCACCTCTGTAGCCAGTATTAGCCACCCATCTCTGCCTTCACAAGGCTGTCATTTGAGACACTGCACTTTCACTTCTTTCACCATCTTTAATCACTCTTAAAAATGGAGATGAAGACAGACAATCCCAGTCTTCCCTATAAGGACCCAACAGCAGATCCGAATGCTCGCATCTCGCCAGAGTCTCTCGCTTTAAGCGGAGCCTCGGATGCAGGTGATGTATCGCGCGTCCGGGCCCTTCTCTCCTCTCTCCCCGACGGGGCCGCCCTTCCTATCCCCCCAGATCAGTATTTAAGCCGTGCTCGATTTCGATCTGCAAGAAACGACCTTAGGGATGCTAGCAAGGCCGGAGATGTTGAGCTTGTCCGTAAAGTGGTCCAGGCATGGAGAGCAGATCCGTCTTTGGAGAACCCGACAACCGAAGACATGGATATGCCGATGATATTGGCGGCTCAGAATGCCAAGAGCGAAGTCGTTCGGTTTTTCCTTGACGAGGGGGTACCAGTTAGTCCAACGGCGATCAAGCTCGCCGCTAAAGAAGGCGATGAAGCTGTCGACGTTTTCCAGGCCTTCCTCGATCACGGCTGGGACATCAACTCGTTTGACCGTATTCCAGCCTTGCAGTATGGCTCTCTTTCCCTCTACTAGTGCATGTCGGTAGGCTGACATAGCTTCTAGTTCGGCTACTAAATCTCTCCCTTTGACAAAGTGGTTCCTGAAAAATGGGGCAGATCCTAACCTCATCAGCAAGGACGGCCATACGCCTCTGGACTTTGCCGTCACCCACTCAACGCCCGACATACCCTCCGTCATTGACCTTCTCCTCTCTTCAGGCGCCCTTGTGACACACAGCAATGCGCTGCACAACGCGCTCACCGCCACCTACCCTGACTCCAACTGCATTGCCATGATGGGGCTGCTCTTGGAAAAGGGGTTTGACGTCAACGCGTTGTCCTTTACGAACCGGCCCGAGTTCCAAAGCCGGAATCCGAGCACGGCGCTCCACTGGGCCGTCAGGAAACACAGCGCCAGGAGAGGCAGGAAGAACATGTTGGCCAGGGTGAGGTGGCTGCTGGACCACGGGGCGGATGTGGAGGTGAGGGACTCGAAGGGCAAGACTCCGGTCGAGGGGGTGAGTGATGAGGCTCTGATTGAGCTTTTGCGTGGCAAGAAGGATTTCAGAAAGGCAACAGCATAATTTCAATTCAACAAGGCCACTTCGTTGGCATCGGGACAGGATGCTATCATGTCATAATAGTGTGCTTGACATAGTCGAAGCACGACCCTTGATGGGACAACTGAACCAGATGGTAGTAAGTTCAACAGCATTCAATGGCTTTGAGCTTCTTTTTGTACAAAAGAATGCGACCAGTGGTACACTCTACCCAACAGCATCCAGATTCCATATTGCCTAGCACAAATCTCTGCCACATTCCTTGTCACTTCCGAGTCTCTGAATCAAGCGGGAATGATGCATCGTCGAGACTTGTTCAAAGTCCCAACATCACCGCAGCGAGTGTCACTCGGAACATCGAGATACTGAGCTGCATACTTTATCCAGGTGTTGTCCCAGTGGCCAGAGATGGTGGTGTGGCAAGCGTTCCCACCGTGGATGTCGACGGTGTAAGGCAGGGGACTGGTGAAGGTGGTCCAGTTGTCATTTCCACAGTCGAGCCTGCCCTCGGTCTTCCAGGTCTCACCCCTGATCGTAACGGTTCCCTTGGAGCCACCGACAGAGTTGTCTCCAAAAACGACGCTGAAGTAGCCGCTGGTTTATCATTATTAGCCAACTTCTGAAGGCCAAACAGTAGCCATCTTACCAAGAGATATCGCCGTGTCCGTCGTTCCAGACGCACTGTCGCTGCTCGTTCTGGTTGGAATAGGTGGTGGTGAGGTCAAGAGCATCGTGGACCTCGTGTGACTTGTCCAGGCTGGGCTTGGGTTGGTTCTCTTCACGCGACTGCAAGGGAATGGCAGAAACGCTCAGGGCAAGGAGAGTAATCAGAAAAGTCTTGGAGGAAACCATTTTGATGAATGGAGGTGGGAGGTGATCGTTGAGTTGAGTTGAGTTTGTAGAAGAGGAATGTAGTGTCGTCAAGTTGTGAGTGATGCTGAGGATGACAGTCTATCTTCTCGAAGAAAAAGGCCCTTTTATACTTTGTAGATAAATTCCCTAACATCCAAATCATTGAAATAGTCGCTAGAGGTTCCAATGGCGAGACCCCGACACTCACACGACACACAGACACACCCATCAATCGTAGGAGCCAAGCTGAGCGATGCATGTTTCACCGGTGATCCTCACGAAGGAATCAAAGAGGCGAAGCAGGTTGGACAAAGATTCCTTATAGTCAAGATGCAGCCACAGACTCATGGGATCCTAGGACGGAGACTTAATACCGCCGGAGAAGAAGAGAAGTCGATCTGACCATCTACGCGGCAGAAGATGACTAGGTTACCACCATCTTGGCACTATCCATAAGCTTATTGTTACTCTTCTACTCAAGTGTCATGGTGCACGATAGGTCGTGATCTGTTTCTGCATCTATTGAAGCACATGGGAATGCACACGGTTAAACGCCAGCTTACTGGGTTGGGAGGGAAGCAGTAGTTCTGTCACCTGTGACTCGTGAAACAGCAGCATAGCCTGACATGCAAGTCAACAGTCATTCGTACGGTATATTGCAAGGTGTTAGGTCTTTATTGATGTGGCGCTATACGCAATAGGCAGTCCCCTGATACGAAGCCCCGTCGGTAATCGGCTCATAAAATGCATTCCGCACCTGAGCCTAACAACCAACGCCGATGGATTGAGACCAAATCCTTCTAATCACCATGGGCATCTACTCGCATTGCGCTGCATAAGTTCCTGCAGCAATTCCTTCGATTAATGCCTTGATACGGTTTTCTATTCGACTTCCTCGCGCACTTCCATTTCAGCTCTGACTTTGGGGGCCGTTTCACATCGAATCCCTCAGAGCATAGTCCTTGTGGCTAAGAAAGCTTACTGGAAGAATTTCCTTGGTTGCATAACTTCGCCATGTGTTACGTTCGAAACCCTATTAGATCCATACACTTCGGGACCGAAGTGATTGATCGGTCCCGATGCAGCTCCAAGAGACCGAATCCCTTACAGTGGTCTCCTCACGAGCTGCGATGACGAGTTCTAAGTTAAATCTAGATCTTTTAAATACATCTACTCCTGTGTTATTTGTCTCATTTTCATACATTGCCGGCAGTGCGTGATCGAGGACCCAGACCATATCACAGCTGTCGAAATGAAGTGTCATGTATACTAAAAAGACCTGGAGAGAGAATGATGGACTATTAATTTAATAGCCTTTACAGATTTTTAACGTCTTTCTATAGAAAGAAGTATCATTAGTAGTATACACTTCTGAGGGCATGGAGCATGCCTTTGTCTTTGAAATCCCCCATGGGTTACCTACCTCCTGAGAAAAGAAGCCACGTCAGTGACGACCCTATTTTCCCTGTCTTGGCCTTGGAAGCGATTATGGGTGAATTCGTTTGTGCGGGAAATATCAGCCCGAAACCAGGCTCCCCGAGAAATAGGTACCAGGCACAATCGAATCCGGCTTTCAACCCTGAACCGTGATTGGATCAATGCACTTAGGCAGCAGTACTTTAGGCAGCAGTACTTTAGGCAGCAGTATTACTTTACGCAGCAGTACTGCAGGTGAGAATAATCAAGGCGAATATTGTTTACCAGTCTCTCAGTTTCATAAGAAAACATAACTTCAGAAATCCTTCTACTGTGAGCCGTCGTAATGGATGAAAACCCGGCCACCAGCTTGCCCTCTACTTCAGAGCAGAGTTTACCTACCGAGCGACTAAGTCAAGACAACAATGGGAGATGCAGAAGATGCAGCCGGCTTACTATTGATCTGCTTCTCATGTTGAAAGATATCAGGCACCACTCTTCGTTGGAAGCTCTGGGGCTATCTGCCCGCCTTGGTTGTGACTTCTGCCAGTTTATCATCGACTGTTTAAAAATGACTCAGGCCGAGGGGACTGAGTCCGCGCAACGATCCGTATCCGTGAAAAAAGGCCTTGGCTATAATGATTGGCTATTTACCAATCAGTCGCTCTACGCAAACGCCAAAGAAACAGGCCAGCCCTCACGTATAATGTTTACCATCGCCCAGGGAATATTTTGCGAGTTGCCTTCAAGCGAAGTCCATACCAGCGAGATACCCGCCGCGAAGATGGTCTACGAAACTCTTCTAGTTCAAGTTGGAGAGCTGCCTCCAATGGAACTAAACCTGATCATCTCTCGAGGTAGGTGAGAAAGAAATTATGATGGCATATCTAAATAACTAATATCATATCAGGTGACAATATCTATTTTGATGACTGCGACGTCTTCAATCGTCAGCATTCCAGATGTCGGGTTGGTCGGTATCGTATCGATCCGGATCTAGGGTCACCAGTCAACCTCAGCATCGCTAAAGGATGGCTTGATGACTGTAGGGAAAACCATGACGAATGCCGCCCCATCAAATCTTCAAGTCTTCTAACACGTGTCCTAGATGTCACAGTATCAGAAGGCTCGCATACTTGCCGACTGGTAGAAACAAGCAACCAACAAGGCAATTATGTGGCTCTTAGTCACTGCTGGGGAGACAAGATCAAAGAACGTCTCACCACTGAAACTCTGTCCACCTTTCTTTGCTCTATCCAAATCGCTAAGTTGCCTGCCAATTCCGAGACGCCATCTATGTAACGCGGAAGCTTGGGATTCGCCATCTGTGGATTGATGCATTATGCATATTGCAAGATAGCAAAGAAGACGTAAGTGCTTACTGCCCTCGGGAGTTTTCAATACTCTTATCTACAGACCTAAGAGTGTTCATGGCTTGCTAATACAAGATAACAGTGGGCATCCGAGTCAGAAAAGATGGGCTTGATTTATCAGCACTCCACGTTAACGATCTTCGCTATGACATCTAAAGGAAGTGAAGAGGGCTTCCTTAAGAGAGCAGATTCGCCGTACCCAAATCCCACAACCCTCAAGGTATCCTCAGCCACTGATAGTCAGACTTCGGTATTAGTGGCAGGGAGGGACGCTACGGAAGAAAACTTTACGACGCTAAGATCTAGCTCAGCGCTAAGCAAGCGCGGCTGGGCATTCCAGGAAGTCATTCTGTCCAACCGATCACTATTCTTTGGCGATCGGCAGCTGTACTGGCAGTGCCGTAAGGAACTTGATAGCCTTGAGGGACTGTATCCTTTCCCGAGCAGGTACGACGCGGACATTGGGGTAACCGTGCCTCAGACCGATGGACAACCCGAGAGAATTGATGATGGGTCCGCTAAGTTGGATTTTTATACCCTCGCCTCCAAGTACAACTCGAGAGCCCTAACATACAGCTCGGACAAACTACCCGCGTTTTCGGGCCTGGCGCAGAAATTTCAGCATGTATTTGGTGGCGAATACCTTGCTGGCCTTTGGAGCAGCGACTTTCCCCGTGGGCTCCTTTGGTACCCTGATGAAATCTCGCCGTCAGCCGCACAGCCTAATGGCCTGCCGTCATGGTCATGGGCTTCAACGAATAAAAGTGTGCTTTTCGTTACGTCTCAGCCTCAGGTCTTCCTCAAGCTTCATTGCTCTGACGTTAGACCTCGCAACATCCAAAATCGCTATGGAGAGATCAAATCCGAAAGTGACGCTACCAGGACTTCTGCTACCGTTGTCGGCATGACTATGCCTTTAGCCAGAGGAAACAGGGTTCCAGATCCTCATGATCAAAAGCCTACCATACTTTGCCATGTTAGTTTCGACGTGCTGGAAAAACTGGAGGGTCAGGGGTTCAATTATGGACGGTTAGGTATACGCATGGCAATTATTGATGGCTCTTTCATGCTATCCCCCCTGTACCTAGAGGAAGAGGAAGGGAAACGGGAACGGAAAGATGCGTTAGATGTGTACACGAGATTACGGTGCAACTGCCTTGCTCTTGCTGTAAGTGGAGAGCTCTCTGATGAGAGGGAGGCCGTTTATGGGTTGGTGTTACAGAAGTCTGGTGATGCGTTCAAGAGGATCGGACTTTGGAATTCGACAGGTGGAAACTGGAGTTGGAAGGGGTGGGAAAGGGATCAAACGCTAAAGTTAGTATAGAGTTGAACCTAGGTAGTAACTATACTTCAAGTGCCTGTTTTAACAGTTGAGATGGTAACTAAAATTCGTTGCTAGGGCCTGCTGCTTTCTTAGAGGAACAGAACGCACCTAACTATAACTAGAATAAAAACAGTATTCTTCTATCGCGTTTTATAGAAAAGATTTTACGCCCTGCTTAGGAAACTTTAGGTAATAAAGAATGTCAAGGATAATTAATTAATTAATAGCAATAAAGGTTATCTTAAAAAGGGTCCTAAAAGCTGCTCTTTCCTCTTATAATTAGTAAAGATAATAATAAGGGCGATGGCATGAGACGCACCTTTCCATCTGATTCTTTATGGCTACTGCTATAAAAGTAAAAAAAAATTAGTGATGGCGTTATATGGTATTGGGTTTTAATACCGTCATATATTATTAACAGTGTCTTTTACTATTGTGGCTGATAGCCTCTTGTCATCGACTCATCATTGCGGACAATGATAATGAGAGTGATGCTCTCCTTGGCACCTGACCCTTTTCTACACATACAGAAATGGCCCAGTGATCCAAAACGACATTTCAGGGGCATAATGTTTAGTTTTTGGACCTTTTACAAGCCTAACAGTTCTAATATGAAGGTCTTCCTCGAAGATATCTCAGCCATGTTGTATAGGGAGCTAGATGAGGCAAGTCCCCACGCAGCGAGAGCTTCTCATACTTCAGGATGTCATGCCGCCTAGACTTTAAGCTTCTCATCAACCGAAGTTGCCAGCTTATCCGCCTCTCCCGGCCCAATATACAAATCACACCATCTCCCTACCCTTTCAAACATATCCAGCCAAAATCTTCGCGCCTGAATACCATGCCCCTCGCCAGGGTACGCCACAAACTCGCAGGGCAACCCGTGAGTCCTCAAGGCGCGACGGAAACCCTCAGCCTGTGAAAACGGGCAGCGGACATCCTTGTCTCCATGCAAGATCAGCATGGGCGGGATCACAGGCTCTCCGCTCTCGCGAGACCGCTTCACCGCGCCGGCCACCTCCCACAGTGCACTACCCTGGCGGTTCCTTGTGTCGTGACGGTCGAGCGTCCAGATGGCATCTCCGCCGGCTAGTTCTCTCTCAAAGGTCGAGCCAAGATCTGACGTCATGGCAAGACTCTCGATATCGCAGACACCTGCTCCCGCGATGGTGGCATTGAAGCGCCAACCGAGGCCGTGGAGACCATTTCGCACGCTGCACAGGTATGTGATCAGGCCGCCCTGACTCCATCCGCCAACTATGAGCTTCTTGGGGTCCGCGAAGCCCTTCTTGATGGCATTGTCTGTGATAGATATGACGTCGGCGTAGTCGTATTTCCCCTGCCCGCCCATGCTGTACGAGGCGAACTTCTCGCCACGGCCAGTGGAACCGCGATACTGCGGAAGAAGCACACCGTAACCCTTGGAGAGGATGTATGGAGCCCATTCGTAGCAGGCTCCGTCGAAGACCTTGCAGTCGCGAGATGTCGGTCCTCCGTGGATTATGACAAACGTCGGCAACGGCTCCACGGGCGTGCCATTCTCTGTCGCTTTGGAGGTCGGCGTCAGGTATAGAGCGTCCAGTTCAACCTCTCCGTCTGCGGATGGACAGGTGAGTTCGCTACAGGAGCCAAATGATCGACCCTCGAGAGGCTTGCCATGCTGGGAAAGCTTAATGTCATCCTTCCCCTCCTCGACGATGAAGACTTCATAAGGCGTATCGACGTCTGACAAGCCAGCAGCGAGGATCGGAATGCCAGAATCTGGATTGACAAATACATCCCATGCCCAGATCTCTGTGTCCCTTTGGAAGAGGTCCTTCCCACCCAGCTCGGTGATGGCATTGTTGAACCTGACGGCGCGATTCACCAGGAGCTTTCCGCCGGCCACAGAAAGCCCTGCCGCATGGTCATGCTCGCCACATGCGATCTTGGCATGCTTGGGCTCGGCTGCCGCGGGATCAACAGTGTAAACAGCCGGGCCTCCTGTGTCCCTGTTGTCAGGTGTTCCGGTGGTGAAGTAGATAGAGCCGTCGGGCGCCCAGGTGAGGTAGTTTAGCTCGTTCGGCACCTTGCACAGATCCCTCACTTTGCCGGTTTCCACGTTGACGGTGCAGATGGTTGTGCCCGTCAGCATGGCCTCCTCTATGTTGGGGTTCGCGATGCTGAAAAAGGCCACACTCTTCCCGTCAGGACTCCAGGCAAAGTCAGAGATATGCCGGTCACCTCCTACAAGAGTCTTGGTCTCTTTGGAAGCCACATTGACAAGGCGCAGGCGGGCATGCTCCCACTTTTCCCCCCAGACATCTGGGCCAGACTCTTCCTTCTCCTCCTTCTCCTTGAGCTCTTGGGTCTTTTCATCAGCAGAAAGATAGGCGATGGTCTCCCCATTTGGAGAAAAGGCAAGCGAGTCAATATCCTGGGCGTTGTCGGCCGACGTGATGGCAACAGCGTCACCACCGTCCAAACGAAGCATATAGATGGCCGAGCTCTCGCCCGGTTTCGCGCGGTCGGAAACGAATGCTACCTGATTTCCACTGGGATGCCATTCTGGATCGCCTTCTTGGAACTTGCCCGAGGTCAGTTGGCGCGAAGAGCCTGGCTCTGTGGTTGAGGCTAGCCATAGCGTTGACACACTATTCTTGCCTTTGTGGGGATTGGTTCCTGTCTTGTAAAGAACCTTTTGGCCATCGGGGGAAAATTTGATGTAGAAGGGGATCTGGAGATCGCAGATGGCCTCGGCCAGTTGTTTGTCGAACGCCGAAGCGTCTCCGGATGGTGTCATTGTTGGTGAGTGGGTATAGTTGAGTGAGAAATAGTTGTTGTCGGGGCCTCTTCTGAACTAAATAAGTCGAGTATCCTGCTGTAATTACAACAACCATGAGTCATTATGAGTTTATGATGTGACGCGTCTTACTTGCAGATATTGCATGCAGTGCTGACCCGATGGTTGGTTCCTTGCGTAATAGCTTGACTCATTATCCAAGTTTCTCTCTCTTGTGCCATGTTTGAATCCCACGCAAGTGCTTTACTGTCGCGCGGAACGCGTCTCTACCCCACCTCGAGAGTGCGTCAGTGCAGCCTAGAACTTGACACGAACATTGCAGCTTGCATGTACGTACAGCGCAGAATGCAACCCGAAATGATCTGGTTTGGATCCCGGTGACAAGGGTGCTCATGGGCAGCCGTTTCTCGAACTGGGCTAATTTGGTTCCAATTATTGCATCATCTCATCAAGCTAACCGTCTTTCACTAACCTCTACGTAGGGCGAACTATGAGGAAGGGAGCGTAGAGCTTGGTTTATCCTCTATCACAGATCTAGAAACGTATTTCGAGCGGTCCAAGAAGGACATACCGAATAAGAAAGCACATGATTGAGCCGTTACCAACTGATTAAATATAAATCTAAAAACAACATCCCAGTAGAGACGAGACCCAAGGTCGTGCTAGAAGGAAACATTTTATATGAGGACAAGACGCATCCAGAGCACCAAACTCAGCTGGAAAGGGGCTACAGTAGTGTCGACAGATTTACCTGTCAAGGGCTTGGCTCTGACACTGCAAAGAAAATCACTCGTTAGCAAAGTCCATGATTCAACAAGAGATAAGCCTACCATCTGCCAGTAAACGCCCCTTTTCTCCAGTAACTGACGGTGTGTCCCCTTTTCCAAGACCGCACCCTGCCCCAAGACAAAAATGACATCGGCATTTTGTACAGTGGCCAAGCGGTGGGCGACTACTACCATAGTACGACCCTTGGAGGCACGCTCAAAGGCCTCTTGAACTAGCTTCTCTGACTCGGAGTCGAGCGAGGATGTGGCCTCATCGAGGAGCAGAATCCTAGGGTTTCGGATTAATGCACGCGCGATAGAAACACGCTGCTTCTGGCCGCCAGAGAGGGACACGCCCATGGGGCCAATGTCTGTATTGTAACCATCCGGAAGAGAGATAATAAAATCGTGAATGGACGCATCCCGGCATACTTGATGAAGGCGCTCTTCGGTCACCGAGTCGGGGTCCACGCCTAGGAGGATGTTTTCTCGGATGGAGCCCTGGAACAAGTTTGGCTCCTGTGCGACCAGGGACAGATTCCGGCGGTACTTGTAGGCGTTGAGGTCGTAAATGCTCTTGCCATTGCATAGGATGTCGCCTTTTTGTAGATCGTAGAAGCGCTCTAGCAAGGAGATGATGGACGTCTTGCCACAACCCGAGGGACCAACGAGGGCCGCAAACTGTCCCTTCTCAACAGTAATGTCGATACCTTGGAACACGGGGACGCCGCGGGTCGGATATCTGAAGTTCGCGTCCCTCAGCTCAATCTTGACCCCGTCTTCTGCGTCCGGAATATCTTCCGACTCGCTGTGGCTATCAGTGTTCCTCGAATCACGCATGCTAATGATGCGATTCGACGCAGCTGTAGCCTGAGCAGCATTAGGGCCAAAGCTCAACCCCTGACCCGCGGCTTCAGCCCCTTGAGTCACAGCCATAAAGCAGATGAAGAAAGCCTCCATGGTGTACTCCCTGCTGGCGAGGAGACGGCCACCGTACCAGAAGATCAAGCCCTGGCACCCAATGTTGACGCTATCCGCGAAACCAAAGATCAAGCTAGTCCAGCGAGCCTTTTTAAAGGCCATGCTAACATGATTTGCCAAAAGTCTGCTATATCGGGCGCAAATAGCGTCTTCCAAGATCAGCGAAGACACAGTCCGGAAGCCACTAATAGCTTCAGCAGCAAACCGAGAACTTTCGGCAAAGACAGCAGCATTCATCTTTTCAAACTCAAGCTCGTACTTGAATCTCCAATAGCCGGAGAAAAGGCCCAAGGGCATCGTAACGCACATTCCAATGAGAGCGAGCTTCCACCCGAATGAGAAGGCTATAGCGAGGGAACCGGCGAGTTGGAAAATGGCTGTCAAGAGGAATGCCATGTTGAGACCCAGGAGTTCCTCCAGTTGTTTGGGGTCGCCAGAGAGACGTGACACAAGGCTGCCTTGTGAGTTGGCCTCGTCGTCGAAAAAGGCAATCTTTTGGTAGAGCACAGCCTGGAAGTACTGTCGTTTGTATACTGAGCTGATGCGGTGCTGAAGATATGTGGAAACGTAGCACTTAGTAAAGAAGCTCGTTCCCACGCCGATGGCCAACACAACAAACATGAGTGACCAAAACTCGGCCTCGTCCATCATGTCCTCTTCAGTCTTGGCAAGAAACACCGTGATGATCTTGGCGAATAGCCAGGCTTGTAATGGAGTACCGGCGCCGGCGCATGCAGAAGCAAGGACCATGCCGATGTAGAAGGGCCAGCTGTTGCGCTGTTCTTTCAGGAGTCTGCCGAAACTGTTGAGGATGTTCAAGTTAGTCTTTTCGGCATCTTCACCCAGCTGGTCTACCTCAAATTGTGCGGCGGTTCCATCGCTGTGCTGCTCAGTCTCGAGGTCTTGGTCCTTTTCATCAGAAACATGGGGGTCAGTCGGCTCGCCGAGAGAGAGCTTCTGGGCATACACAAGGCCATGATACAGGCCATTTTCATCCTGGAGCAAGTCTTCGTGAGTCCCGGATTCTATCACCTTCCCCTTTCTAAGAACAATGATTCGATCAGCCTTCTTGATGGTTGACAGACGATGAGCGATAGTTATAGTAGTGCGGTCCTTGGCAACTCGGTCGAGAGCGGCTTGCACAATCTTCTCCGCATGAACATCGATAGCGCTCGTAGCTTCATCTAAGATGAGAATCTTGGGCTTCCTCACGATGCTACGAGCGATGGCGATGCGCTGGCGCTGGCCGCCAGAAAGCTTCACTCCGCTATCGCCAACCTGCGTATCATACCCCTGGGTAGATGGTAAGCAAGGCTTCACAGAAGCATCTTATGAGGAACTTACGTCGGGGAGACGGTCAATGAATTCGTCGGCAAAAGCCTCCTGGCAGGCGCTCTTGACTAGTTCCCTCATTTTCGGTTCTGGTTCATTTTCCCACCGAGAGCCGACCAACCCGTGAGCCACGTTGTTAAAGATTGATTCGTTGAATAAGAATGGCTCTTGCTGTACGAGACCAATCTGTGAGCGCCACCACTTGAGGTCAATCTTCTCTAAGCCAATACCGGATGTGGTGATGGACCCAGATAGCTCGACGGCAGGGCCAGTCTCTTGGTCACCCAACTTTGGTTTTTCGACCTCGCCTTGCTCCGGTTCCTTTCGCTTATTCTTTTCCAAGGTCTTGGCGATGGCATGCTGGCTTTGGAGGGCATACCACCTCTCGATCAATCCAACGATGGTGCTCTTGCCTGAGCCCGAGGGGCCGACAATGGCTGTGTTCTTGCCAGCCTGGATAGTGAGGTCGAGATTATCCAATACCTTGACATGCGGTCTGCTTGGGTAGGCAAATGTGACACCCTTGAAGACGATGTCGTTGGTAGCAGAGATTTCAGGCCCCTTGACGCCTCCCAGTTCAGGTTTAGGGGCATCAATGACGGTGAAGAATTCGCAAGCGGCAACCATGGCTTTGCTCACGGCAATCAGGGGCGTGGCGATGCGTTCGAGTGAGATGACAACCATCATGACAGACATGAGAACCACGATGATGGTGCCTGAGTTGGTAAAGTCGCCAGCGATGAAACGCTTCGTTCCGTACCAGAACGCGAGTCCAAAGGATGAAAATAGACCGAAGAACTATAATGTGGTCAGCCATGGTGATGACAAGATTGTGGGCAAGGGAACTTCATACAACAAGGCCAAACTGGAGGCCCATGAGCGGCGAGGTGGTTTGAGCTTTGACTCTTGCGTCTTCAACCCATCGGGCGAAGCGGGCTGCGATTCGGTCCTCGACGCCACAGGCAGTTATCATTCTAATGCCGCCCAAGGCCTCGCTGGCCACTGCAGTGGCTTGAGCCTCAGAGCGAGTCGTCTTAGCGTGGCCGCGAATGATAAAGGGCATGAGGGTTCCAAGAACCAGCAAAAGGAAGATGATGACGGACGCGGTGACGAGGGTCAGGTTCCAGCTCCAGGTGAAGGCGACAATTACGGCAGTCCAGATGGTGCCATTGAACTCCATAAAGGTGCCAAGCTTCTCCGAGATGCCAATCTGTAAGACGTTGGCAGTGCCCGTAATTGTGCTAGCTGCGGCGCCAGAAGGCATCGAGTCAAGGACTTGAATAGGTTGGCCTAGTAAACACTCCAGGTAGTGTAGGCGGACGGCAGAGGAGAGGCGAATTCCTATCATGCGAAAGCAGAACTTGTTGATATAATTGAGTCCAAACCGCCCAAGGAATAGAGCCATGATATACAAGGCCTGTTTGTCGAGGAGCTTTTCAAACTCGTGTCTGGTGATGGTTGGAGGTTCCTGGAAGTAGTCGGTAAACTGGCCCACGAGCTGGCCAAAGATGATATTCATCAAAGGTAACGCTGTGCCGGCGCCGATGGAAGCCAAGGAGGCCAGGACGTAGACGACTAGATCCCATTTTGTCGCGTATGTAAAGACACGGATGTAATCTTTGATGCTGGGCTCCCGCCCAGGCTGTGTTTTGACGTCTACCGTCTTGACCTCTTTCGAATCTTCCGAGCTGTGGGTAGGACCATCTAGGGGGCCTAACGGCTGAGTCTTCTCGCTGGTCATTTTGCCAAACACTTGACGACCAAGAAATTACAGCCAGTCCGCCCTGGTTAGCAGAGGACCAAAAGGAAAAGGAACACGTTGAAAGAGAACGCGATTCAAGGCGGCACTGGGAGAAAAGGAGACAAACAAAAAGAAAAGAAGAGAAACAAGGCATCAAAAAGAAGGAAAAGACCCAAGTCCAATATCATCATGGTCTCCCTCTAGGTGGGTAATGGGCTTAGTGCGTGGTTGGCCTCGGCGGATATAAAGTCCCCGACGCGCCGACATGCGCACCCATAAACTACCAAGGGAACGTGTATAGCCTAGACTCATTGGAAAGGTTAGGTAATTAATGCTACCCTGACGCGTAAGATACTGCCAACGCCGATAGAATTCTCTTTTTGTAGTATTTATGAGATACAGCTCAGTAGTGTATGAGGCTTCCTCTGTGTATGCAATGCCTGTGGTGCCTCTGGTTTCTTGACCCAAGAGAAATGAGTTTGTTCCAACTCTCAACCTGTTCTATCCCATGCCTATCCAACCCCAATTCTTTTTGATCGCAGTCTCTACACGTACTGGCAAGAGTTGATGCCATTTGTGTTGGCTCCAATGAGAGGGTTGCAAAGGCACCTGATGCGCTTGCCAGCCACCGTGTTATCGAGATCCAAGCAAGGTGAAGTGTCTCCCGACACCTGACCGAGGAACTCGCCCTCGCAGCGTCCTCCATTTCCCGTCTTGCCGTCAAAGAGATACCACGAGGTACCGGCCTGGTAGACAGAGTGGGTGGTGTCGTCCATGGTAACCATGTGCAGGTCAAAGGCGTGGTGTCCGTAGTTGAGATCACCAGAGCTATTCGATCCATCAGCTTTTGTTTCTTCTGAATCATCTTTGGAAGGGCACTTACCAGTCGTTGGACTTGTACTCGTTGGCCTTGGGGAGAGCAGCTGAGACCAGGCCGACGCTGGTGGCGAGGGCGAGAACGAAGCTGTTGGTAAAGTGCATGATGGATAGATTTTTCTTGATGTTGACGCAGTAGGGGAACTGTCTGTGAAAGTGAGGTTGATGAATGTCGAAGTTGCTGTGTTTGATGAGGATCGAATTGATGGCAGCGGGCATAGGGCTTATATAGCCGACTTGAAGGTATCACAAGGTAACAATGCCTTCTTCAAGCTCCAAGCGTCATGATCATCTCCAAGGTCCATCATTTCAGCCCCATGGGTGGGTAAACCGCCAGGGGAATTTCCAAGGCAATGCCCGAAAAATGACGTTCCTCAAGATCAGCGCTATGCGAAAACTGGCGATATCCAATCAATTGCAAACAGTTTTCGGACCCCAATTCCAGCTGTACCGTATCAGGCGAAGCCAAGTCAGCCCTATCCTAATTCTATAATTAAAGCATAGAGTCCGAGGAGGAGTGGAGTTCAAGTGTAAAAGTCCGAGGAGGATTGTCCGAGCGAGGCGCAGTCGAGTGGTCAAAGCCACATGGATTCATGGGCAGGATGTGCACCGCCCAAAGTAAATCTCTAGTGAAACAATAAGATGGGGAAAAGCTTGAATATAAGCTATTATTATCTTTCGTGACAGGTAAAGCTAAACTTATCAATGGTAGGAAATGCTAAGCTAGAAGAGACTCGCTGCTCACTAAGATACCCTGGCTCCTGGCCAGCTCTAGTGGAGCATTCCGTCACACTTTCTATAGATCGACAAGATGATCATAGCCCTACAAGCATGAAACCAGCCTCAGAACTCGGCCCCAATCCCGTCAGCCCACGAGATCCGCTTAACACGGCCCGTGAAGGCATGTGTGTCGATTAGATCCTTATGCATAGCTGACATTGCATGACATCCTACCGTGGCTGTATGATCAGCTTGTCCAATGCTAGGCATTCCAACGGAGACGGAGGTCCGGAGTCTTTGTACGACATGGAAGTATCCCATCGAGATGCATGACGGCATTCCTCCCTTCGGATCCTCGGTATCCGTCGAAACTGCCAGACAGCAAGTGGTCTTTTAGGCAACTTGGGCAAGACATGAGGGCCAAAATTGGACCAAACTCTAACATTCTGGTTTAAAATTAGCAGATTCCTAGTTGCAATGTCTATTAAACATCGAAAGGTTAGCAGCTATGCTTATTCTTCTGACCCGCTTCCCCATCTGATACCTCACCCATGCATGCACGTTCGGGTCCTACTCTTCCGGCTTCTGGGCCCAAACAACCTTTTGGAGGTAATAAGGACGCATCTTGCCAGAATGAAGCTCCCGGCGGAGCAACTTGATGTATACCTCAATCTCCTCCTTAGACCATCCCTCCACCGTGTTGGCCATGAATAGCACGTAGCCCTCAATGTCCCGCTCGAGGGTAGCCTGGGAGTATCTTCCAATCTCCTTTTGCTTGGGATCGTGAGGCCATCCTCCAATGGGGACCTATTTCGTCAGCTATAATTGGACTCCTCGCTGGATCGGGAAGCTTACCTTGAAGTTACGCTCCTCAATATCGACAAATCCTGCCTCTTCCATTCCCTCCCTCTGAACTCCATCCTCAACAATGGTGAATGACCGGCCGATCTTCTTACCGCCCTCAACAAAGAACTTTCCCCACTGGTGCATAGCACTCTTCTCATGAATGCTCCCATCATCGCAGTCCATTCTCGAAAGAGCCTCGTGACTCTCGATATAACCACCCGGCTTAAGACACTTGTAAGCTTCCTTGAATAACTGCGGCCAGTCGACGATGCTGCCGACGAGCCAACGCATATGGATGTAATCTAGAGAGCTGGGAGCAAAGGTCCATTCTTGGGTGCAGTCATCAATCTCACTACGTCATGTAAGCTTCACATTGGCAAGAGAATGTTGTGCAAGACCTACAATCGTAGGTTTGGCGGGACCCAGCTGGGTTGGATGGGCGAGACATCTGTGCCAATAACTTCGGTCTTGGGAAAGGCTTCCGCAAAGTCACTGTCATAATTAGCTTTATACCGACGTGTTTCAGCTGCTGTCGTACATTGCCCAAATTCCAGTACCTGTTCCGAAATCGATTGCTTTCTATGATCAAGTTAGTATTAACGAATCTCCATCACATCATCAACCAACCTTGATATCCTTGGAGATGGGTGCAAGGTAGAGAGCACCGTCGAGAACAAGTGTCAGGACATGATGACTGCATCAAGTCAGCGGCTACTCGTAGCGCATTGCCAGCACTCCCACTTGATATCCATAGACTCATTCTGTTGCTCATCGTTTGCACCCCTATTTCATGTCAGTCACCACCTCAAGCCACAGACGACTGCTCACCAACCAGTACTGGGCATTGCCTATGTCCCTATGATAAGTGCGGCCACTAATATTTCTATACTGAAGAATGCTCGACGTGATAGAGGCTGTGGACTCCACAGCGTCCCCACCAAGAGCAGAGTCAGCATCGTTATCAGCGTCTAGCTCCTAGCATATATGTTGGTAAACCGCGCGATTTCACATGAATAGTGGTCCTAGAACAACCCACCTCAGCTACCTGCGCCCAATGCTCAGGGGGCAGGAGGGTAGACGCGTCAGTAGCCGGCACGGCGTTGTCGGTGGCCTTGGTATCAGACATATCGGCGATGTATTTAACTTCTGGGCGTAAATGGGGCGGTGGACGTTGAGGGGTCGATATTCCGCGGGATCCATCCCTTGTATCGTCTTTTAGCCGGGTTATCCAGCGGAGCCGGCTTCTTGTCAGGGTCCCGATAGCTTCGGGGTTGATTCCCCGAAGTAGCAGGATGGGTCGTTGAAGACGTTGCCAGTCCTATCAAATCCCTGTATAGTATGCAAAGTATGAAAGCCTCGGTTCCGGACAGTGGCATACTCTTGAACACACGTGTGAGCGAGCAACCGTTGGGGCTGGATCTCGTGATGAGGATACAGTCAGCAAGCTCGCAGCATCATGACGGCTCCGGGTTGGTGTCGGCTTTGAAGATATTGTATGGTTTCTTAAGAATGTATGCTAATACTTTAATTCGAACGTATTGCTAGTCATAAACCTTCATAAGGACCTCAACCTTAGCAGCTTTCAAACACTATAGAAGTCAAGGAACTATTATGTTATTTCGAGCTGATCCCTTCATTCCTTGGGCTTCTTTCCGGTAGCAAAAGAACTGGAAGATGTTAGCATCCGACTCAATCAACTCCTCGGTATGTTGCACTTACCAATAAGTGTACAGATGAATCTTGTTAGACTTGAGCTCCTCCCGAACCTTGGCAAAAAGCACCTGTGCCTCTTCATTCGACCATCCACCAGCTCTCGTAAACAGAGCAAGCGAATAAGCCTCAAGTGCCATCTCGATAAACTGCACACGAAACCATCGCCCAATCTCCTTGAGCTTAGGATCCTTTGTCCACGTGCCCATGGGAACAATCTTTTGCGTAAACTCGACATCCTCAAACCCAGCCTCCTTGAGCATACCAGGTATCTCGGGAGCAATGTCAAACTTGAGGGGGGCGCTGAGACGACGGAACTCGGTGAGCCACTTGTGCGTCGCCATGTCCTCCTTGAGGGAATCGTCGTCGCAGAAGAAATTGGCCCTGCCCTCGCTGATTTCGATGTTGCCGCCGGGCTTGCAACGGTCGTAGGCTTGGGTGAGGAACGAGGGCCAGTCTTGGATTGCGCCGGCGAGGGTGCGGGCGTGGATAAAGTCAAACTTGTCCTTGGGATATGTCCATTCTTGGGTTGCATCATCAACCTCGAATTTGACGTTAGGAGGAACCCTGAGATCAAGTTAGGATGTAGTTAGACGGTGAGAATGCGTGGGAGTACCATTGGGGTTGGATGGGGCTCAGGTCAGTTCCAATGACCTCTGCAGAGGGAAACTGGTCACCAATCTCCATGGCCTATGAACATGTCAGCAGATCTCACACTTCATGGATTCGATGCTGCTTGCTCACCCATAGTCCAGTTCCTGTACCGACATCCAAGATGTTTTGGGGATTCTCAAGCTTCGTCTTGCAAATATCACCCTTCAAGGCGAGAGTAAAGACGTGATGAATAATGTCAAGACGTTCCTGTTCGGTCTCATCATTAGGCAATAGATACTGGCCAGCACGATACGCATGATAGCGACGGCCATTCTCATATTGGTAGTCAAAGATGGACGACGTCGCACTGGTCGTCTCAGATACGTCACTCGCATACTCAGAGTAGACACTCTCGCCATCGGTCTGTTGAAGAGTTAACATTTAATAGGAGTCCCGCTGACAGGGTCAATTACCTCTGCCTCTGGGGCACGGGGTGCCTGTTCGTCTTGGCACATGTTGGCTGGGGGTTCTTTGTTGAAGTTCGTGGGGACAGCCGATCCTGCCTGGAAATGGATGGCCTCAGTGGGGTAATCCGGCGTGTCGGGAGAGGGTTTAACAGGCAAGGGGCCTGTATCTCGTTCAGAAGGTATGCTAATAGATCAGCGATTGCTCCTCGGTGAATCTCCGGTGAGCAGTGACACAGTTGACACAGTGGCAGACGCTGTAGGTGTGCGACTCCGCTCGTTGGTGGTGAGCGAGAAAAAAAAGAAAGGGCTGGAATTCAATCAGCTCACTGTTGCCATCTTGGGTTGAGCGGAACGAGAGCGGAGACTCGTCCGCCCGGAGGTATCGGGGTCCTTTGACTGTCCGACGAGACGACCCTGGTCATTTTGTGGCCCTCCTCCAGTGATGTTGAAATAAAAGCGCCTCCTCGGCAAGGGGACCTCTTTGAGTAATGCAAGCCCGAATGGAGTAGAGGCCAAGACTTGGCGGTTGAAGAAGGGACTAGTTTGTTGGTTGTCAAGACGGATCAAGACTATGCATGCAATCTCGAAGCTGTCAATATTGACCAATTGGTTAAAACCATCGCTTTGCGCAAATGCGACCCTACTTAGCCTTGTATCTCTTTTCTTGCGTCAACTCTTTGGTTATGTGAGCATCCTCTTCGCCTCCAACGCTGCTCAAACGACTCCACCCCGATAAGAGCAAAACAATCAGGCATACGAATCTCGTCAAGTTTAAACTTTGACCATGACCGTCTCAAGGCTTCTATAGTAGGGCTTATAAATCCAGCAATTTCTCCCAAGGCAGTGCCAACTCCACGTGTGAAGATTAAGGTTTGCAACTATCTAGGGTCCCCCTGGTCGTCAACGCAAGCAATGCTCGCTGTCCTTTAATTACACAGAGGGTTGAACCTTCTAAACTTGGCCGTCGCAGCACTGAAGGTTTGTCGGTAGTTTCGAGTCTACCGACACCCTGGTCGTGGTTCTCGTATTCCGGCAACTTCGGATTACATATATCCCCAAGTATATATAGGCATGGCATTGCCCGCTCTCATACCTTCATCACTAGCCTCAAATCAAATTATCACTATGTTGTTCAAGCAGTTTGTTGCCTTTGCCGCCGTTGCCAATGGCTTGGCCATCCGCCAGGATACTCCCATCTGGCAGACTCTCCCACCAACGCCCGACCTGCCATCTCCCATCAGCAGCAAGACTACTCTCATCAATGGAGTTCAACTCTGGATGCAAAAGTACAACGAAAAAGTTGGAGGAATCCCCATCGTCATGGACCACGGCGGTCTAGGCTACTCTGCCTACTTTGGATCTGTCATCTCCCGCCTTGTTGCCAACGGTCACTATGTCATCGCCGTTGATCGTCGAGGCCATGGCCGTTCTACTTTCAACGCCGACGACGTCTTCACCTACGACCAAATGGCCGACGACATTCATGACCAACTGGCTGCCGCTGGCGTGTCCAAGTACAACGTAGTCGGCTGGTCAGACGGCGCCATGACGACTCTAGCTGCACTCATCAACCCGACCTTGGCCGCGCCCATCCACAAGGCCTTTATCTTTGGAGGAGCTGCCAACCCAGAGCAGACGAATGCCACCTTCTCCGACACTGCCATCTTCAGCGAGTTCGTCTCTCGCTGCGGTGTCGAGTACGCCGAGCTTCAGCCTAATGCGAACTTCAGTGTGTTTGCCAACAAGGTCGGCACCATGGAGGCCACTCTCCCGCAAATCACGGATGCCCAGCTCGGTACGATCGACGGCAGCAGAGTCATCATCGTGGGTGCTGAGCATGAGGAGGCTATCAACCTGGACGTGCCCGAGAAGCTACACAAGGCTATCAAGGGTAGCAAACTGGAGATCTTGCCTGGTGTCAGTCACTTTGCGCCACTCCAGGATCCTGATCAGTTTACCAAGGCTGTTGAAAAGTTCTTTGCATAATTGTCTTTCAAGGAAAAGTCGCCCCAATTGCTAGATTATTATATGATAGACCAAATGACAAACTCTTGTCCTCACTAAATATCCAAATTACCTATTTTACACTTAAGCTCCATTAATCCACCTCATCAAACACGATTCCATTCCACTACCCAGCAGATGTAACACAAGGCCATTCTCTAACACACTACCGGCTACTCCATCACTCAAAGTCTATCTATCCCCAAACTCTAAGCAACCAACCATGAAGCGTCAGCCCTAGAGTTAACATTGCCAAGTTCAAAGTCCTGCAACGGCCCCGTCTCCTGCGTCGACCACAAATGCTGGCATCTCTTCCACCAGAAAATCGCCACTATTAGCACCAGACCGGGAACCGATCCACCGACAGCTGAGGCGGTAATCCAAGGGCCGAGCATGTCAAAGTTCTAAAGGTAGTAGTCAAAGCTCTCAAACATCATGTATCCAGCGAAAGGGTACACAGTACTGCAAAGGCACGTTCTGAAGCCACCTGCCAACTAGACGCGACGTTAGTCACTATGTCGTTGTAGTAGGGAGAGAATGCATACCACCAGACCTGTGAGAGTCGCAAGCCAAGCAAAAGCAAGAAAATTGAACACGGTGCAGGCTCTTCGCCCCTTTTTCCCCGGAGCTTTGCTGAAGAGGTGATACGTCCAGGTAAAAGAGCTCAACACACCATAGAGGAGCAGGCTCACAGACCAGCAGCCCAGGCCGAAAGTTGGCGTGCAGTAAGCAATCAAGAACGCCATCATGACCTCAAGCAGAACCAAGGAAAACGAAGCCATTGCCGTCGCGTACCACTGTGCTGGTGGCGGTCCCTTGAGACTCTTCAGTATCTCCTGCGAGAAAGCTGTGTATTCGTTAAGATCTCTGCCCAAGCGAGGACTATGATTTTCCCAGGTCTCAATCGTCGTGTAGGCGAGTCCACAGTACTGTATCTTGCGGCCTTGTCCGATGAACTCTTTGATTCTGAACACGCTCATGTCATCCTCTGACGTATCGCGTGACCACCATTCGGGCTTTCGCATGAGGTCCAAGTCAGCTCCAGCGTCTTGCGCAAAGTTCAAAACAGCGTCTACGTTAAACAACCAACGAGACATTAGAGCCCTAGGTTCCAATTAGTTATTGGATAATGTATGCTGCAATTTGGCCGATACATACGCTGAACGATCTGCTGATACAGGATTGCGGTCAATAATCGTAAAGATGACCAGCATAGGCAGCCAGCAATACAATAGACCAAGGGTAAGAGGCGATCCTGTCCGGCTGCCCACATCTTGGTGAAATGCAAGCACAATGGAGAACACAAAGGCGGCAATGAAAGTCCCAAGACTAGCAAGAGTTGGAACAACACCGCGACGTCTCAGCATACGCAATTGAAACGCTACCATCGACAGAAGCTCCGCCGTGTACTTCTGATCCCGGTCAGGCTGCCTGTTGGATTGAGTCAGGGGCCTGAAGAGGCCGTAAGCGAGTGCTGTGTAGAACCTGTCGTCGTCAGGAAGTTCAAACTGGCCCAAGCAACTCAGGACAAAGAAAGCGTCTTTGTGCAAGATGTTTCTTGACTTTGCCATGAGATGACAATGCCTGATCTGCCGCACGTTCCAGATGGTGTGTGTCAGGGCTGTCTGTGGAGAACCCGCCCAGTTTATCAGCGCTTTGAGGGTTCCAAAGATCTTTTTACGGTGAAGCGAGTCGAAGGGAAGATTGAAGATGATAGCCAGAGGAAAGATCCATGTCGTCACCATCTCAAGAGCTGACCTAGCAGAAACGGAATCGGTCCGCCCGCCACAGACCTTGAGGCATCCTTTCATCGTCAGCATCAAGCCCAGATGATACGTAATGAAGATGGCATATAGTATCACAACTCACCCTCATACCCAAGGGTTACATTGGGACTTTTACCCGTCAACCCTTGAATTGGTCCATCCCAGAGATAGTCTAGAACAGTCTCGTTGTTGAGCCCACCCTCGGTCCTGTTTCCGTACATGGTATCATTCAGCTTTTTCAAGCATGTTGAGAATCCATAGTCTTGAGCGCTAACAGCGACAACGCAGGCAAGAACGAGGAAAGAATAGATTGGCGAGAGTGGAGGATGCATGATTGCTGCTGTTGATTTTGTAACATGATGAGTGCTGGTCAGAATATAAATACTTATCCACACAGAAGACAGGATAACGCACTGCTGCTCAGCCTCAAGGCGAAGTTTGCCGCCTGACAGCTGAACCAAGCCAAGGCTCATTGCACTTTACACACTCACGCCTACGGCGGGCCGACGGATGAGAGCCAAGAAATGCCAGAATCTCATTTTCTGATGATATGGGGTCACCTGATCAAAGACAAGAGGCGATAGCAAGGCAGAAATGGAAAAGCCACACACACATGTTTCAGCTTGGTGGGAAGTACGCCTGTTTGTGCCTGTGAAGAAACACACTTGCCTATGAGAGCTCAACTTGGCGTCAGCGCGCCTGATAACAAGGTAACACAAGAGGGGCGTAGCAAAGTCTCGGCCTATATTAATAGCGGCTTTGTAAGGAGCCTGCATGTAACAGGCGCCGAGCGCCTATGTGTGGGCGAACCAGAGGCGACCAAGCCGCAGCCTTATCTGTGAGTGTCTCATTCGGCTGCAGCCTGGCTGAGGTGGCGCTCCAATTACGCCTGGAACATACGGCGACAGGTCACACGATGCTGTATAATTTCCGTTTGTGCCGAAGCTGTCTCAGAAGTCAGGCTTTGTATTTCCACACTTGTATCGAGGTGCTTGGTTAAGACAAACGACGGGCAGGTAATCCGAGAGCCTTGGACCACAATTGTGTACCCACGATTGTTTGATTTTCACGCAGCTGCAGTCACACGAGTCTTCAAACAACCTCTTTTTGACTTCTTAGGTAGTATCATTACATCAGCTAGCTATTTCATACCAGGTGTTTTGCCGAGGCTGTGGGAAAGTAGTTAACATCTAAGGGATGTTGAGACGACGAAAGCTGAACCACCATCTCCTCCTGCAATCTTCATTCAGCCCAGTAAACTCTCCTCTACGCATCAAGCCTTAATTTGAAAAAGGGGTTCTCCCAAAAGTGCAACATCCACAGCCCCAAATCCATTACCAGGCACGTCTGTGGCGCTTATCTGTCCATCTCCCTTTAACCGAGGTATCTCTGCAACCAGTGGATTCGTCCACTCGGCAAACAAATCAACCCCCCTCATGTTCTTCTGTGGCGTGGAGGCCGCCAACTGCAAGTTCTGCGCTGTCGTCAAGGCGCAGCCCCAGGTGTCGTCGATGGTGACCAGCATGTTGAGGGCCACGGCTACGTCACGGAGGGTGCGTGCCTTGGTGAAACCGCCAACTCGTGAGGACTTGATGTTGACTCCCGTTATACCGAGGGCGTGTGCCGAGATTAGGTCCTTCAAGGTGACGATGGACTCATCCGAGATAATTGGCAAGCCGGTGCGACGGCCAACCTCACCGCAGTCTGCGAGGCTGGCACACGGCTGTTCTATAGCCACTGTCATGCCCTGAGGGAGCGCACGAGCAAACGTCAGAGCCTGGCTGAGGTTGTAGCCTCCGTTGGCATCAGCCCAGATGTCTACACTCTCAGGGAGTGCCTCGCGGATGGCTGTAACCCGCCGAGCGTCACTCAACGGGTCGTCTCCGACTTTGGCCTGCATCGCCTTGGCCCCCTTCTCAACCTCAGCGCGAGCCTTTTCAACACCGGTTGCAGTGTCCGAGAGGCCAACGACTGAAAAGGCACGCAGTTCTTCGTTCAGACGTCCTCCGAGGAGAACTGAAGTTGGGAGCCCCACGGCCTTGCCCAAGATGTCCCAACAGGCAATGTCAATGATGGACTTGGCTGTCGTGCCCGACATGAGGATACCGTCCATGACGGCCACCACCTGGGCCGGGGACCGTGGATCCAAACCCAGACTACTAGGGCTCAGCTCCTTGAGCGCGGCGAGTTCACCGTTGAAGAAGCTTGGCAGGTAGGCACCGCCCAGGGGCGCTGACTCGGCCCAGCCCTCGAGGCCGCCACTCCGCCCGCCGGACAAAGTGAACGTGCCGTAGTTGTAGTTGACATCGTACGTAAAGACGGTGATCTCGTTGATGTGCATTTTGCTTTGATGACAAATAGTCTGTAGTATTATTCAAAAGGGTTATCTTTAATGATGAGGTTGCTTCTCAATTTGCCCCGGGGAAAGGAGGAAGAGACCTGGCTTTTTATCATGCTCACTGCTTAATATCAACCTCCTCATTTTATCTACAACCCTCAAGGCCTATCTTAAACTATATTGATATGTATTTGTAAGGCGGAAGATCACCCGATCTTGATCTCCCTCTCGCGCCCTGGTTGTTGGAAAGACTCGGCCAGATAGCCAGGGCAACTGGTTCGAGAGACTCACAAGGCCATCTTGGAGTTGTGGACAGATCGCGGTGGTTGATTCAGTGGTTCGAAAGGAGAAGACAGCACCAACATAGGTTCTCGGCATGAGGTGATCGAGGGGAGTCAAACGTTCAGAGTAAGTGGAGGCCATTATGTCGAATCATGTGGGAATATAGTAGAACAAGGCGAATTTTTGTTGTGATTGTAATGATTTGGTGAGTTGAAGCTCTCGAGATGGTGCCGCCACTGGTCTTATATCGTCTCAACACCGTTGGCCGCCTCGGGGCTGCGGGCCCGTGGAACCGATGAAGCGCCAAAGGGTACGGGTTTTATAAAGAACCCGATAATTAGGGGCTCCAATTCTTCGAGGGATAAGTCCAGAAGGCGCCAGAACCCATCCATCGATCATTTCTAGCATTCTACGACATAATCTGGGAGCCTGGCGTAGGCACCGAGTGTTTAAACCCCATTCCTCAAGGAGTGGGGATAGAGTCAAACTCGTACATGTCCGGAACAGATTTAGCCTCATCGTCGCGAAGCTAGTGTGTATCTCAAACGGAGTTGCTAAATACAATTGATAGAAAATTACGCCAGCATTGAACAATGGGTATCTAAACACGAACGTACATATCATATGCGCAACAAATCCAAATCAAATATCGGTCAGAAGCTGGTTGACCATACCCCTTGTATGCTTCACCAACGAAACACAATGCGGCTCCTTGTCCTTTACCTGGTGAGGCAATCGACACCCGATTCCAGACGTGACTGGGAGACTGCCCGAGTGCCAGCCCTGTTGACGATCCTCCATATGTTGCAGCATAGTTATAAACGACGGCGAGATAGAATGCGTCGTACCAAATAGTTCAGCCTTGATGGCCTTTTTTGCGATATTCTCCCAAACTAGGGGATCCAGACTCAGGGGAAATCCAGATTGACCATAAGAAGCGTTGCCGTTTTGAGTAGTCTGCTCATACTTTTCACCGTCGCCGATGAACAAAAGCTTGGACTCGTTCCCCTCCTGAGCACGGAGCGTCTCATCCTCGACCGATTTCACAATCTTTTTGTATCCCTCGGCGATTGAAATTATCAAAGTGTTGAGGAGTTGGGCATTCTGCATCGCCCAGAGGAACTTTGTCGGACACACTTGGCATTGTATGATGCTGGATGCGTTGGCTGTGAGATCCCGCAGAAGTGAAAGTCGCGCTGCAAAAGCCAAATTGTCTGCTTTTCGAACTTCTTCCAAGGATAAATAGAGGTTTGCTAGGCAAGCGCATGTCTGTTGTCCAGGATCTGTCTCAACCGCCAGCAATTTTGGGTCAACGTTTGTCTCGCATCTGGGCTGGTCAGCAGCTGGTCATCAAGGTAGGAGGGGCTTCACATACCCCCAAGATACCACATCGGCCATCAAGTCACTGGGAGGCTGTAGACATGGATCAAAAGCGATCGGCTCCAGGTCACTCGTCGTCTCGCTCGAGACACTTTTTTCAAGTGTGGCCGTTGACACGCGGCTTGAAAAGGTGGCAGCGTTGCTATCTTGAGCTTCATTCTCGTGCTGCGTCTTTCGCTTCTTGGGTCTGCCCATGGGTAACCGAGCAGAGTATTTGCACGGCTCACCCAAACCAAAGCATCTTCCACAGTCTGGATATTCACCATCACACTTCAACTTCTTTTGTCCTGGACTCGGTCAGTATGCCTACGCGGTAGGGTTATGTAAGCCAAATGGGGACTTGCTGCACTGATCACAAGAGGCCCTCCTGTTGGTAGGATCACTCAAGTCTGAAGCCATGATGAAATCGACAAAGTACCACCTATATCTTCAACTCTCAATGAAAAAAGAAACAAGGTCCTCGTCGTCAGATTACAGATGATGATGAGCATGTTGTAAGTAAGCCAGCGTCGCGTCGTCGTGAGAATGTGGACCCCCGACGCTCCCGCTCCGCCACACTTCTTCACTCATCCCATCACGCCAAGACCGGAGCCCGGGGCTTGCATATTCCGACCGCCCAACCACCGTCGACAAAAAAAATTTCTGGACTTTCCTCGCAGATACTGATTAGAAAAAAAGTCCCCACTATCAGAGAAACTTCGACAAGACAACTTTTTTGCGATCGCGACAATGGCGCCCTCAAAGGAACTCGTCGCCGCTGGCTCTACTGCCGTAGCTGCCATTGACCCCGATCAGGTTTGTCAAACCCCTCTCTGTAACCTCATCTATCTCCCTCTAACCCTTGAATCCAGACCCTCAAAGCTTCCAAGGCTCTCTTGGCACACATCAAGAAGGCATCCAAGCAAAAGGCCGACGAGTCTGGCAAGCGCAACCTCCTCGACGACGACGATGAGCCCACAGAGACCCCCATCTGGCTCACCCTCACCACCAAGCGCCATATCGCCGACAAGGCCCGTCTCCAGCCCGGCAAGATCGTCCTCCCTCACTCGCTCAACACCGACGAGACGGCCACCATCTGCCTGATCACCGCCGATCCCCAGCGCGCCTACAAGGACATTGTCGCCTCGGAAGAGTTCCCCGCCGAGCTGTCCAAGCGCATCGCCCGCGTCATCGACTACAGCAAGCTCAAGGCAAAGTACAGCCAGTACGAGGCCCAGAGGAAACTCTACTCCGAGTGCGACATCTTCCTCGCCGACGACCGAATCATCAACCGGTTACCCAAGGTCCTGGGCAAGACCTTTTACAAGACTACTCAGAAGCGACCCATTCCCGTCAGTCTGCAGGCCAAGGCCCCCAAGGTCGACGGCAAGCGACAGAAGCGAGTCAAGACCGAGGGTGTCGTCAACGCTGGTACACCCGCCGAGATCGCCAAGGAGATTGAAAAGGCCATTGGCGCAGCCCTCGTCAGCCTTGCGCCCACCACCAACACTGCCGTGCGAGTCGGATACTCTGGCTGGACCCCCAAGCAGATTGCCGAGAATGTCGACACCGTCGTCACCGCCATGATCGACAGGTGGGTTCCCCAGAAGTGGCGCAACTTGAGGAGCATCTACATCAAGGGCCCCGAGACCACCGCCCTGCCCATCTGGATGGCCGACGAGCTTTGGGTTGACGACAACGATGTCATTGCCGAGGATGAGACCACCAAGACGCTCAAGGCTGAGAAGGCCAACATTGGTAAGAAGCGCAAGTCGCTCGAGAACACCACCGAGGAGGCCGAGTCTCCTGCTCCCAAGAAGAAGGCCAAGAAGGAGAAGAAGGTGCCAGAGGGCGACGATGACAAGCTCGACAAGCAAATCTCGGACCGAAAGACCCGGTTGAGGAAGCAAAAGGCCAAAGCAAAGAAGGCCATTGACAACTAAACTGATACCTTGCATTACTCGCGGCACCGGTGTTGGGGCGTTGAACGGCGGCAAAATAAGAATAAATAGAACTGTGCCTTTGCATTCATCCAATATCAATATTGTCCTGTTGAGTGGTATTACATAAACACGCCAACCCATCCATGACTTTAACATCCATATCAATTTCACGCCTTGTTGCCTGCCTTCACCTTGCCCTTCAAACCAGCTTTATACGCAGAATAACCCCGATAAAATCCAGAACACTCGGTAGTACTTACTTTGGTGCAACGCTATAGCTCCTCCGCCTCAAAGAGACCGTCTCCGGTAGGGTTCTCCATGTCAGACTTGAACGTCTTTCGCCAAGGGCCAAAGAACTCGGCCGCTGTCTTGTTGAGAAGTTCGCCCATGTTCTCGAGGTGGTCACCAGGTGCAACTCGGAATCGAAGACCACCCTTGCGGTCAAGCTCGCGCAGACCAATCCAGTCCTCGCGGTAGAGCTGGCGGGCTCTCAATGGAGTGACCTCGGTACCGTTGACCTCCTCAAACCAAGACGACTCCTTGGGGGAAACCATGGTGTCGCTCTCAAACATCCACATGACAAAGTTGGTCAAGCTACCAAGGTTCGCCTTGTACTTTTCGTTCTTGAGCTCGCGTTCGTTGTTGATATCGGCGAGGAAGTTGGAATGCTCGAGATAACGTTCGTAGTCCGGGCTCTGGGGGTCACGGAAGTATTGGGCGGGGATAAGACGTGACTGAACAAAGCTGCTCCAGACGTTGAACTTAAGAAGCGCCATAGCTCCCTTGCAGATCCAGTCGTTGTCTCCGCAAACTCTGAACTTGGAGATACCATTGTGCTGGCTGCCAAAGGTGACGAGACTGCGAACCTGGGGCCAGTTGCATCGCTCGACGTAGCCACGCAGGAACTGACCACCCTGGGAGATGCCGACAGCATCAATGGCCGGTGCCGTAGACAAGATGGAATGCTTGGCGAGCTCCTCGCAAACTTGCTCGATTTGGGCCGAGACGTTGCCTGTGAAGGTGGCGGTGCGGTCTTGTTCGGAGCTCTGATCGACAGCAATTACATAGACAAATGTGCCGGGGTTGGCAGACTCGATGAGTTCCTCCACGGCCTTCATGCTGTCGCTGTGGACATAGTCACCAAGGCCATGCCAAACAACAACGGGAAGTGGAGTGTCGTCTATATCGTCAGTCGCGTGGGCGGGCGCGGTATAGCCATGGCCAGCCAGAAGCCCCGTGGCCAGGCCAAGGCGGAGCAGGGAAGGGTAGAGCATGGTGACGAACGACGATAAACTCCAATGAAAATGAAAATGCCAAAAGTATGGTTAATTCGTGTGATGAGCTGCTGTGGATGCTGGATTCGATGTTGGAGATGGAGAGTCTGCCTGGGGCTGAAGACGTCAGCTCGCGAGCTAATACCTCCACCAACCGTGCTTCCGGAAGGAGCGCGGGGGTGGGTGTAATGGGAATGAGCTCCTTTGGTGAGAGCTTCCTATTGGTCACTGCGGCATGAAGATGTTCCGCCTCAGCAGGTACGAGTTTCATGATGAACACAGGAACTCGCGAGTCACGGAACTCGGGAAACATCAAGTCATGCACACTTCTTCTCTTCTTACGGACCGTCGGAAACAAGCAAGGGGCCTTGCAGATTCTGCCCTCTAAGAAGCTGAGGGTGACTCCATCTTGAACCTCCCACCTCCCTGACTTGCAGATCCCCCCTGCTCCGGCGATTCGCCAGCGCCCACTACCCGAGGTATTCGTCACTAGTAAAACCCCCGGTGGACGTGAAGACTCCAGTGTGCCTGTGATCGGTTGTTTCGAGAGAAACATGCGGCTCTGGATGACGACGCCTCGAGCGATTGCGAATCATTCGAGACAGTCGGGCTGATGCTAGTGGGTTAGGGCCATTGAGTTTGAAGGATAATTGATACAAAAGCCAATGATTCAACCACTTGTTTCCCAAGAACCATTCTTCATCGTTCATTCAAACATTGGTCCTTCCTTGACATTAACCTGAGCTGGTCTCCGTTCTCTCTATTCCTACTTCACTTATACCAGCCACAAACAACTCCACTCGATCCTGTCTTCACTCCCATTTCATACAGTCTTACAGCACCACACCAACATCCAACATGAACTTCAACCTCATTTTCGTCGTCGCCTGCGCCACTCTGGCTGCTGCTCTCCCTTTCCCTTCTTTCAAAGAGGCGGACGGTGGCTTCCATCATGCTCCTACTATCGCATCTACCGATTTGGAGTAGACATCGATTCAGAAATGCCGACTGCAATGGGGCCCTGTCTGGGTTGTGATGGGTGGGGGTGTCAGGTTACCCTATTGCAGGTGAAAAAGAAATCTCAATTTATTCTAGAAGGTAACAATCATGCCAAGTCGACAATGGATTAAAGATCACAAACTAACAGCAATCAGAGCAGGGGAGAGAAATACCACTGGATCTGCTTTCTTTCGTCGTTTCTTATACACGTTGTTGAAAAACTTGGGCACTGGCGTTTTCGACTGGGGATCCAGAGTGACCAGTGAGGCACAAATATCTAACTAGAGTCTGCACATATCTATGTCACTGTAAATAAACGGCAGTCACAAATAAAAAAGACACTATACACTCATATTCGAAATCGTTGATTGAGTCAGTTACTTGAGTTGTGATTGTTTGTCCCAAAGTTGTAGTTGCTTGGATGGGTTCATTAAACAATGAATTGTGGCTGGTACCACACCGCCACACACCAGCCTCAGCCTTGTCACATCAGAGCTTCCATCGCCAACTGATTCAAGCTCTTCAGAAACACGAAATACATGGGATCCGCTCCTAATAAACTGCCGGACCACCGTCTGCGAGGATCGTTCCATTCATATTCGTATTCATACTACATTAAACGGCCCGCGGCGCCTCGGGTCGGCGGATCTACCCTTCGACGATAATCCTTCTCTTGCTCGAAGTCCAAGAACCAAGCGAAATCCAACATCCTCTACGACCAGCAACACCCCGGACACGATATCTCCCGCCGCTCCCTCGATCATCGCATACGTCCCTATCGCATCCCATATCCGCTAGGCCCGGCCTCGGCGCTGCAGCCACCGAAATGGCCCCCTCAAACAACGAACGAGCCGCCACGGCGACAAATGGCGACGCGATGGCCAAGATTGGACCTCACCCAGGCTTCATCTCGAGCTCCAACCAATACACAACAGAACTCAAGCTCCGACGAATGCTCAAGGACAACGGCTGCGACCCGGCAAGGCAGGATAATTACCGACTGCAGGGCGTGCAGCTGATTGACAATGTCAGAGAGTACTTGCAGCTGTGAGTTGGACACGACGCTCGGTTCTCTACCTCCATCCTGACGATTGCTAGGCCTGTTCGAACGTTTGATACCGCATGCACGTATTTCCACAAGTTCCGACTAAACTTTCGCGACGCCGAGTACAACTACCAGGACGCAGCGCTGGCCGCTTTGTTTGTAGCGTGCAAGGTGGAGGATACCATTAAAAAGTCCAAGGAAATTCTTGCCGCTGCGTATAATGTCAAGAATCCGGAGAAACCTGCAGCTTCCGATGACAAGGTACGAATTGCACATGCCCTTGTGCTCCGAATGTGTTCTCATCTCGTCCTAGATCTTTGACTCTCCGGGAAAAATCATCATCTGCCTCGAACGCTTGATCCTCGAAACCATCGGCTTCGATTTTCGTACACGATACCCTCAGAAGCTCCTCGTCAAGGTTGTACGGGAAATATTGGGCAAGGAGGGCAAGTCATTCTTCGAGACTGCATACGCCATGTGTATCGACATGTACAAGACGTTTGTGCCCATCAAGCGCACAACCTTTTCCATGGTCATGGCTGTCGCGGAGCTCACGGCTCTGATGACAGAACAGCATGTTGAAAAGGTGCAAGAGTACGGGGCCAAGAAACCCCAATATCACCGAGGTGCCGTCATGGAGACGATGCTCGACATCCTCGATCTCTACGTACAGCACCAAAAGTCGACCAAGCTTGGACCGCAGTTTGACCAGAACAAGATCATCGATATCAAGATCCGGCTTAACAACGATCTTGACAAGGCATTCGAGCCGCGGCATCTGTTCTTCTGCACCCGCTGCGAGGCCGAAGATCCTCAACCCCAGACACCAGCCTCGGCCACATCCCCAGCGACTTCTAACTCTTGGCCTGGAGATGCTTCTGGACGTAGGACTGCAAGGGGTCAGGATGGAACTATGAGATTTGTGTTCGACCCTGAAAGTGCCAAGCAGGAGCAAGAGACTACAGGGGAGTACTTCCGAGAGGAGTATGAGGAGTATGAAGTCGAGGTTGAGGAGCCGGTACCTCCGCCACCTCACCATGAAGGCGGACGTGGAGGGTATCACGGTCACAGGGATAGGGGAGATCATCGACGTGGAGGATCATACGGAGGATATCGAGGAGATCGGCATTACAGAGGAAGGGGGAGACATTATTGACGCTCTCTTACCTAATGAACGTCCATTCAATCTATAGATACCCTTTGATCAATCAACCCGCGCTGGAACTCGATCTATGTTATGATCAACTCTTCAGTTCACAACACCCAAGTTCCCGACCTGACTTGGAACAGACGGCAATAATCCGCTCCCCATGTCACTCGTCGCAAAGTAATATGCCGCTGTCGCGACAATACTCGGAACAGCGACATACGTCAAGTTCCGTGCAAACACCTTGGCCCCCTTTTTCATGATGATGGTCAACTTCTCATGAAACGACTCCTGGTCGTTGATGTGCGGAAACGGCTCGTCAGGAATAGGCTTGCCCAGGAACTTGCACAACGGCTCCCATCCATCCTTGAGGCTGTACTCGAGGAGCCTTTCAGGGGGTGTGGTTTCTCTCACGTTCTTGTAGTGCTGCTTGTATCCCTCTCGCACATTCGCCTGTATCTCTTCCTTGGTCGTCGCCTTGAAGTGATACTTGAACCACACCGTCGTCAGGCCGTCAACCTCGGAGACGTACCTAGCCCCGATGGCAGCAAGAAACCTCCAGAACGGGTTATACATGGTACTAATGATGCTATCATTGAAGCTCTTATACCAAGCCTCAACGTCGCGCTCTACGAGTACGACCTTGGACTCTGGGTACGCTTCCAGCATCTCGGGACCGAAGCAGTTGGCGGGATAGTCGCATATGGCACCGCAGTGTCCGAGGAGTTGATCAAAGTCTTTGCGTCCAAGAGGTTCCTGGCCGGGCTGGAGGTCGTATTTTCTGTGAAAGGCTTCTTTCCAGAGTTCGACTTCGCAGGGGTTGGCGAACATGGCGAAGCCGTGGTATACTTCGTTGTAGCCGAGGATCATGAGGGCTCTCTGCATCGCTGGAAATGTTAGCCGATGCTTTTGGGGTAGAAGTGTGTGCCAACTTGCAGGATGTGCCTGTTCGTGACATTCCGAGGGCGAGGACTTCCATGGGGACTGTCCGTGTACACTTGCGGCGGTCGATGTTGAGGCCTGACTGGAAGAGTTCTGGGTGCTTCTCCTCGAGGGTTTGCATTCGCGGCATGATGATGGATATGTACGTAGTTTCTCTTGCTTGACTCTCATAGAACTCCCAGTGTCCAGAGCAAGACTCAAGCTTTGTAGGACTAACACGACTACGTCTTGTTCCCTCTCTCCTCCACCAACTTCCAACAGTGCCATCTCACACCTGAACAAGGACATCCCTTGATATCAACCCCGCGATGATCCTGCACCTCGCAACGCAGTCATCCTTCTATGAAACCTGTCGTGCCATATCACTCTCAGGATATCCTTGTTAACTAACACTGCGGACCCTCGCGGTCCGGCCCATCGGGGGTTGCGGCTCTCGGGGTTCCAGATTTCCACAGTGGCATCCGAGCGTGAGATCCTGGGGTGTCCCATTGTTCATATCAGGGGAGATACTTTTGTTTTTTGTTTTATCGGACCATCGGGGGCCTCTTTTTTGAAGGTCTAGGGTGCCTGTCGAGTTGACTTCACTATATGAGGTTGCAAAGATGGCAACAAGAACAAAGCATGGCCATATCGACTTCTATTCTAAAGCACCACCCTGCCTCCAACTCCCACGTATCTTTTCTCGAAGCACAAACCTCAGCCCAGTTGACCCCCGTTTGATGTGCATGATGATCTGTCTTCCTACATGTACAGCCTCTCCACAAAGGTGAATCAGCTTTCTCTCTGTGCAAGGGTCCCTCCCCGCCACGTTCGATATGAAACTTGAGCTAGAAGGAATGAATCAGTGTTGGTTATGTTCTGGGGTGGTTTTCGAGTCATGCTGCTGTCGTCTTGGCACTGATTCAGTGCTCTAGCCCGTCAAAACGGGGTGTTGAAGTCTGAGCTGAGTATACTGGGCGAGGATGTTAATATTAGTTGGATGAAGATCCGGGGATAGCCAGGATCACCTCCGCTACCTGTAGCTCCTGGTCATATATTCTTGTCGTTCGAGCTTTCGTACATTTTCACATGTCTCGTTGAAGCGGATGTGACACTGTTACGATATGGCTTGGACATGCTTCGCATGTCCCACCGTGGCTCCATTGTTGAGCTTGTGGCTGGCAGAACAAATACCTGGATATCATGGATGGTTTCTATGCTCGCTAGGTCTCAGAACATGCCCATCATTACCTACCTCCCATCTACATCTTCTCACTGCTTTGTCTCCTTTGTCTTATCCTCTCCATGCTCCCCAATCGTCAAATCTTCCCCTGAAGGTCCAGTCGACTTGACACCCTCTATACCATCCCCATTCTCATTCTTCTTCTCCTCAACAGTCCCTTCTGCACTCTTGATACTACTCGCCTTGCTCACATCCGCACTCACCGGGCTCTGCACCCTCAACCCCAAATCCTTCTCAGCATCCGGGTCTTCCTTATTGGCACCCTTCCAGTCCGCCGCCCTCACCTGCGGCACCGGCTGTCCCTCGTCAGGCTCTAGCACTTCCTCGGGCGTGGCATCGGTACCGGCTACACGCCACACCACGGAGATGCGGTCCATGGCCCGGGAGCCTTTACGGCTGGATCCCTTGATCCCGTCCATGGCGTCCCATTCAATGTTGAAGACGCCACTCTCGGCGGGCTTGCCGTCGTTTTCAGGGCCTTGACCTTCGAAAAAGACGTTGAACCATACATGTGCGACGGCCGTTACCATGGTAAGACCCATACTCTTGGTCGTCTTGTTACGACGCTCCACCGAGATGTTGACGTCGCTGTTGGGGATGCGAATGGGTTCTTTCGGTCTTAGAATAACGGCCATGCCCCCGGGTTCTTGTTCCGAGGATGTATCCGTAAGTTCTGTTTTGGAAGAGGCAGCGCTTGGAGGAGCAGAGGCGCTCTTGGAAGCGAGTGACTTGCGTGAACTCGCCGGCGACACCTTGTGTAGAAGTTCTGTCCCCTTGCGCTTGATGGCCTCTTTCTTACCCTTGGTGTCTTTTTCATCTGTGGGAGACTCTCCGTTGCCAGGATTCGTCGCGTCCGAAAAGTGTGCTTCATCTGGAGCCTCTTGCTTTTGCTTGGTGACGGAATACCCAGCCATCTCCCATATCATGTCGCTGATTCCGCTCTCCTCTGGCGCTTCAGGATCGACAAGTACGCGCTCCTCTTTCTTGAACGTGTGAAAGATATCGATCTTCTTGCCTTCATCTGCGAAACCTTCCACATCAACCTTGACACCATTTCGCAGACCCCACACATGGATCTCGACAATCTCGATCGGCCGGTCGATGTATTTCTTGCCGCCTTTCGTCCAACGATCGACGTAGCTGATCCAACGTAGCTGTGAGGGTATAGAAACACCAGCTCCGAACTGAGGCCGCATCCTCCGCTCAGTGAATCGCGCAAGTGCATCTTCAGGCTTCCAGCCCTCCTCGGCGATTAGATAACTGCAACTCACAGTTCCGCTACGTCCTTTGCCAGCCTTGCAATGCACAACCACAACCCTCGACTTGCGCTTCTCTTCCCTCAGCGCCGCATCGCTCGTCCCTTTCCCTGAAGACACAGGTCTACCATCTTCTGTAACTCGTCCGCCCTCGAGATCACCGCCGTGCATCCAGTTGCGCATACTGGCCAAGATCATCGGCATGAGGCGAAAGGGTGGGGGGTGATGATCCGGCCACGGGTAGTGCCTTACACGACCATATACAGATTCGTCTGGATATCCGGTTCCTTCGGCGCGGAACTCCCATATCGCCCAGTCTTCACCATGCTTGGAGTCGAGGAACTTGACGAGCTGGTCGAGGGGGTTTCGGTAGGCGAGCTGCGGGTACGTTTGCGAGGGGCCGGACCTGGGGGCAAGTCATGTTAGCGAAATTCAGCAATTTGAGAAAGAAATAGAGAAATCTAGCGCTCGTCGTGTGACATACGTGGCAATGATGCGATCCGTAACGTAACAAAGATCCAGGCCGGCTTCGGGATGTCGAGCGCGTGGTCCCGCGACAATCTGTCGCAAGAGCGAAGCCATGACCGAGAGCGCACCAGAGGTAGTGACAGAACTTGAGGGTTAAAGAGAGTATCGGGGCAAGCTCGTAGACGGTCTGAGTGGAGAGAAACAGGCGATGGAGGTTGAAAGGCTGAAGTGCAAGGTTGAAAGACGTGGTCACCACATGCTAACAGTACTTACCAGAGGTACCGACGTCATGGCTGAGAGCCCCACTACTATCGCTATCTGGAATGAGGCCTCATCGTCATCATTGACGAGGTCAAGACCAAGATATTTTCTTAGCGGGCCAGCTCAGATCATGGCCACGGCAATCCGGCACATGTTTCTGATGCATTCATGATCTTTTCGAAGCTATGCTGGCCTCAATTGGATAGTCATACACTTGTCTCGCAGCTCACCTGTTCAGCCGGCATCATGATCAACGAATAGCACGATAACTTGAAATTCAATGCAGCAGAGTTATAATAACACCAGGAAAATCCATCCCGCAACCCCTGACCTAGTTCAGTCTCCTCCCCGTCTTCGTCCTTGTTCCTCCCATTGACGTCCCAGCCCGATCAAGTCCAAACCAGCTTCCTTTGCTTGTCGAACCAAGCCGAAATGCTCAGCCCACCAAACTCCTCCAACAGACAGACGTGGGAACAGTCGCACAAGAAAAGTCCCCCAGTATAGGATAAAACAAAACTATTGACACAAAGACACGGCTTTTCTCCATCGCTTGACCGTGCCTCAAACTTGCGATTCCCAGGACGTAACGTCTAATCCTTGTCTCTTGTTCCATGGACCTGGAATCGCCTTTGCGTAGTGGCTGATTGACAGCCCGGATCCAACTCGTAGCGTCGTGGTCCTCTTTTTAGATTGTCATGTCTCGTTGAAGCATGTGTAGCTTCTTTCGACGGCGCACATTGGCTTTGTGCATCTCCGTACATGTCCAAGTCGCGCGATTGCGCATCCTGCCTTATGAGGTCTTCTTGGCCGGACCGCTGACGTACTTACCGACATCGGTGGCATCATGGAACTGCCTGGCAGCCTCCTTGGCCGTCTGCCAAGCCTGGCGCGCGGCGGGGGGAGTTCCCTGGGAAGCGACCAGAGAGTCGACGCGGGTGGTGAGCTGTGCAAACGAGTTCTGAACGTGGGTGCTCTGAGTGTAGCGAGCACGCAGGAAGGCAGTGTAGAGGACAATCAGAATCCAAGATCGGCGCTGGAAGAAGATGGCTGACAGCAGAATGCGGAACCAGAGAAGGATCTCGAGCGACGAGACAATGGACATGGAAGCATCGTAGTACTCCTTGACGAAAGCACCAATCTGGTCAGCGAGTGGGCTGTTAACCACAGGTCGGCGGCTGGGGGAAGAACCCTCGGGCTGGGGTTCAGTCTTGGGCGCAAGGAGGGTGGGAATCAGGTTGGCGCGGGTGTAGGTAGCAACGTGGAACACCGAGTAGATCGAGTAGGGGAGCAGAGCGAGGGGGTACTGGGGGGTAAAGAGCCACACAAGGGCCATGACTGGGAAATTGTCAGCTTCAAGTTGTCGCTAGATAAGAGCCAATCCGCTGGCCAAAGTTGTCCTTACTGAGGTACTGAATGTTCTCATCGGAAAGAAGGGCCAGAGGGCTAGGAGCAGGGCGAGCGCCAGTCTTTGCTCGCGCGCGCAGAGTCTTGTAGACGACAATGCCATAGGTGGCAGCAGCGGCGACGAAGGCAGTCCGATACGAGAACTGGGCCATACCCGAGTAATAGTTCATTCGGAGCCAAGAGAAGCCATATCGAATTGTGGTAATAATTAGGGTCATGTGTCTGTAGTCGAAGCATGCTGGTTAGTCACGGACCGACTCGAAATTGAGAGCGAAGTGAGCTCGAGAGGGAGGCATGGAGCTGCCCTGAGAGCTATCGTGGCCATTCGGTGCGCCGGCAGTGGACGGAACAGTGACTGGGAGGGTGACAAGACATACCCAACAAACCAAGCGACTGTTTTGCAAAGAAGCAACAGTTAGCAAAGCGATCTCGCTGGCATGCGCGCGCGCAACTTGGACCAAGGAGATACCACGTACACTGCAGGGTCTTGGCGAGGGCAATCAGCCTCTCCTGGATAGGAAGATCGGGGTTCGGCGGAGGGGCCATGGCGTTGAAAGTCGATGGACGAGAATGATACGAATACAGAAGAAGCGAAGGAAAGAGCGCGCGCGCGGGTGCGATGTTTGGCGGACGAGTCCTTTTTGGTGTTTGTTGGAGGGGGAGGGAGCAAAGATGGTGACGGATGACGATGTTAGCTGAAGTGAAGGGAAAGGGACAGGAAGAAGAAGTTGTGGGTTGTGGTGTGGGCAGAAGAAGCAAGCAAGGCAAGGCAGACGTGGAATGCAATAGGTGCAGCTCGAGTGGCAGTGAGTGACGGAACTTATCCCCCCGCCTCGAGCGGGAACTGCCCTGAGCTCCAGGCCTCGGGTCAAGGTTTCAGTGGCCTCTTCCAGCGTGTTCCAGGAGGAGAGGCGCTAATGAAGCCACTAACGGTGGGGATCCTCGACAGGGGTGGCTGATGGACGGGAGGGAGCTAGAAGTGGGGGAAGATGGTCAAGGAGGCTGGTCAAGAGGAGGTTGGGAAGGGGGATAATGTGCGAGATTGGTTGTTGTAAAATTGATGAAGCTATTCACATTGTGATATTCTTATTTCTCATGATGATTCTGATGAGCGCGCTCTTGGGCGTGATAGCTAAACAATCAGGACACATGTCTACAAAGTGACGATGGCTTCGATGACGACAGCTTGAACCTTTGACTCATCAAGCACGTGTAAACACGCAAACCAAGGCCGTCCGTCCGTCCATCGACGGGCGGCACTGGCTTCTTATCCGGCCAGCTTTCCAACTTGCCTTGCAACACTCGCGTGCTCATGGGGGCGATCGAATTCGTCACTCCCCTCAGAAGCTTGCCTCCAGCATTCGATGAATGTTTGGTTTCGTCATCGCCAGCTGCTCTTGGTCAAACCAGGTCCGAGCCCCTGCCTAGCTGAACAGGACGAACCGCAGCCCGACCAATCGGACAAGGCGTGAATGTAGAAATGGGTGGTGTGGAACTGCAGTGCGAAACCTGCGTCTTGAACCAGGTTCTGATGCCGGCAAAGGATTCGACTTGAGAGTTTCTTTTTTTCTTATCACAAGTAAGAGGAAGTCTGCTGTTCCTACGTAAGCTTCCAGCCACATTATTGACATTCCCAAGTTTCGGAACCTCAAGGTTACACAATGTTCCTTTGGCAATCAACCTCTCCAACATGCGACAAGCGCCAACTTGACGCATTTGATTGGCTACCAGAACTGCAACCTCAAATCGTAACCCCAAGCGCAAGCTTATCCGCAAGCGAAGCCTGTGCTGAACTTTGTTGCGTCCAGTCTCTGTTAAATGGCCCGAGGTTCCAATTTAACCATCAAAGGCCAACTTTCATGACCTTGAGGGTTTCACTTGAAACTGTCTTAGATCCCTTGCTTTTCTGGAATTCAATTAATCTTTTCTTGATACGTGTCCCGAGATGCTCCATACAATTATGCCTTGTGACTGGGGTCAAGGTGGCAGGTTCTACAAAAGGAGATGATGACTGTAGGGAGACTTGGAGATAACAAGCCATGTTCTGGAAACAGACAGTGTGACTGAGATTTTATTGAATAGTGATGAACACTCCGTGTTGGCCACCCTTGATGTAGTAATAGAGGACGTTGGCTGTGTTATGTGTCATGTTCAGTTGCAAAGCAAGCATATTGGTCATGGGTACGTTTGTGAGGAAACCATCATGTGATACCCACTTCAAATGTTGCTACGGCCAATATCTCTTGCTCATGCCCTTGTTGTGGTCGGAGTTCGGGTGGTTTCGTTGCATTTGTCGCTGTATCGCGGAGCCTCACAACCACTTGGAGCTCATGTGGCCAAGGCTCGGAGGGCAACCGATGAGTCGGGCGCAGTAGTTTTGCATAGTAACTTGAACAGTTGTGTGGGTAGCTAGTATCTTTGCGGGCAGAGCATTGTCATAATCTATTGGGTACTAGTGTGTTGTGAGCAAGGGAGCATTGTTATGACTCCGGAAGACATTGGACCCTTTACCCTCAAAATCGTTTCAAAAATTACATCCTGTCTATGCGTTTCCTGCATTGTGGCATGTTTGGTCTCCACGAGCAAGCCCTTCACTCCAACTGTCAATCAAACAGCCCTGGATCGATCAAAGAGTTCTATAAACACTACAATGGAAGCCAGGGGAGGCTGTTTGCTCAGCATTAGCATGGCTCGCGGCGGCGTTGACTATGGAAACGCCGGCCTCAACCTCTTATAGACGCCGTTCGTTGTAGCAACGGCAACTACACGATTGTTTCAGACAAACAGAAGACTGTCTATTTATTAGCATGTAACGGAGTCTGATGACTTCAACCTTTCAACATCACTCAGTCTACGATCCCCAGCTCGACAGTCAAGACCTCACTCGAACTGAAAGAGATCCCGAGCTAGACGACCATCAAGTTGTGTAGTCACCGAAATGTCTTCCGTTGCTTCGGTTCAATACTTGTACGTCATACATGGCCTCCTATTCAGGACTCTCCCGGATGACCCTGAGTGTCCAGAACTCGGACAGCTCCTCGGCAATGTACCAGGACACGAAGTTACTGCATCCTGGGTTGAGTCCAGGGTTAACTGCATACTCGAGCAGTGCGACTTCAAGTTTATGACCATGACCTTGTTTAACGAGAACGAATTCTGGATCTCGGCTATTGAAAGAGTCGCCGGAGGATGGGAAGAGGCCATTCCTCCATACCACTTCATCCGTCTAGTCAAGGCCATCCTGACAGCGCGCTACAACCACATCGAGGCCCACGGGTTTCAGCTCCCGGACGGTGACGTCGCTTGTAGCGCCGACATTCTACTCTTCAACTTTCTCCTCTATTCAATTGATCACCAGACGGTGTCTGGGATCCCGAGGGTCCCTGTGCCCGGCTGGGACACAGACACCATCGAGTATCGCCTTGCCTGTAGCCGTCTCCACAAGGCTCAGCGTTGGGCTCGAGTGCATGGCTCGACCCTGCGCTCTGATCCTGCGGTGTTTGATGAGTTGGCCGCTATGATTCTAACTCGTGGTCCGCCCACCAAGACTCTCCAGTCGCTTCAGGAGGAGTATGAGGACTGGCGGGGATGAGTTGCTAAGCAAGGGATGGGATTAGGGGAAGCGAAATGGTGGTATTTAGGAGAGATTGACACCCATGGGCTTTTAGGGCAGGAGGTATAAGCTTGGACTGCAATAGGGGCGCTGGATATGATCTTTGAGATACTCTCGGAATGAAGGATGGCTTTGTCACTACTTGAAACGTTCCTGTTGGCCATTACATAAAGCTAGGGAGAAACAAAGCGTCTTTCAGGGGAAGAAACATGCCCAATCGTGTTATGTACAGTACAGCTACATACAAACTCCCTTTATCCTTCAGGGTAGTCCTATGTCGTTTCTCATTGTTGTGCTCAGGAGCTCATTGCCTAATATCAGGACCGATGGAAGAGAGATAGGCACACTTCTTCTGCATATCTCGACTCAACTTCTCCATCCTCGTCTCACCACCCGTCTCAAACACAATGCGCTGCTTCCTCTTATCTGTCCAGGCCTCCCACTTGGCCGAGCCCTCATGACGATACTTGTTAGGGTCATATGACCGAATGAAGCTTGACCAGTAGCCCTGAATCACCGGTATCACTGGGGCATTCTTTTTGCCCTTGAGGTAGCTGGCTGGCGGGTTGGGCCCTGCAAGCCCGGGGCCGAAGATGGCATTGACTTCGACTGTGTGAGGAACTCCGAGGCCTTGTTTCATTGCATCTGGATCCTCGACATTGTATAGGTAGTTCCACGATTTCGGCATGCCGTAGCGAGTCAAGGCACTCGAGATGTATATGCCTGGGCACATGTATCGCATCTGCCCGTATACATCACTGACCTGTCTCCAGTAGCAACCGACATTGGGACAAGTTTTGTTCTGGTTCGGATACAAATCGCCAATCTTGCTCAGCTGATCTGCCGTCAAGTAAGGGAACTGCGACTTGAGGAATTTTTCACCCTGCTCTCGAGTCGATGCTGTCTTGGGAGCAAAAACTGTGCCGCCATTTGTATCATCGCCCACAATCGCGGGGACTTTGATGAACTTGCCCTCCTCGAAGAGCTTGTATGTAAGGTCGGGAATAAAGTCTCCATCGATGACGGGCGTCCACATGAAGAGAGGCGCTTGAGAGCCACCGGGATAGGGGATGTTGGAGTTGACCTTTTGTATCTCTTTGGCCGTCTTTGACCGAAGACATGCTAAGCTGGCTTTTCCGGTACAGTTGAGCTTCTTGGTGAGGTTCTCGTATTGGTAGAAGGATTCCTTCACCGTCAACATCGTAGCAAAGGAGACCGACTCTGCCGCAACCGCATGATAAAGCCCTTCATCCTTTCCTCCAAAGGCGCTGAGATGGAGGCTAATACTTGCAGCACCAGCTGAGTCACCACCCAAGACAACATGGTCAGGGTCGCCGCCAAACTTGGAGATATGTCGCTGAACCCATTCAAGACCCTTACGTTGGTCTAGGAGACCGATGTTTGGCGTTACTTGGTCGCCATCGTTGAGAAACCCATAGACGCCGACGCGATAGTTGAGAGTCACAACCACCATGTCCATATCCCCGGCTTTGATGAGTCCAGTACCGTTGACGATGGGGTTTGAGTTGGAGTTGAAGCCCCCGCCTTGAATGAAGAAGAAGACTGGGAGCTTGTCTTTGCTAGAGGCATTCGACGGAGCAAAGACATTGATGAAGAGACAGTCTTCGGAATCTGTCTTGTCAACATTGTCTCCCTTGGTCTTTGTCCCGATGCATTTTAGACCGAACTGAGAATGTCAGCTTTGAGTGTCAACAGGAGGTTAGGAAGGGACTTACATCACTTGCATCCTGAACAGTACGAGTCGAAAGAGGATCCTTGGGGGGCTTAAACCTGAGGTCCCTGAGAGGCGGTGATGCGTATCGCATGCCGAGCCATTGTGTGACACCATTTCCGAGTTTCTTTCCTCTGTATTTGCTGTATTGGAGGTCGACCACAGGGTCGACTGCATGAACAAAAGACGAGAGCAGCGTTGACGCCAAGAGGACAGCATATAAGAGCACCATATTTACAGTTTACTCATTCATTGATGCCAAAAACAAGCCCGAGAAGCACAGTGAGCCATTCTTGCCCTTTATACCCAGTAGCACCCTGCTCCTCCCACAGCCACAACACTTTTGACCACCGCCTCTCGACACCGCTTACTTCCGCTCACATCCTGCCGATCCGTTCCGCAGTCTCAGCTTGATGAACACGAAGCATCCCACAAGACCAACGGTTAACAGATGTGATCGTCCGAGGTGCGGGGATAAACCCCCAGGTTGACGTGGGGAAAGATCCGCAAGAGCATCACCAGAATCAGCCTCAGCCCCGGCCATGAGCCGTCTAGCCGCGTCCTCGGAATCACCGACGGGCTGAGCTCGAGTCGTAGCCGAGTCGTGGGCGGGCGGTCTTGTCCCTTTGCGGCAGAGTTGTGCCTGATCCCGTGGTATTGGGTCAGGAAACGAAACGGCCACTGACGTTGACGGGTATAAAACTGTTCCCGAGAGAATGTCCAGAACGATTGATCGACCAGTACTGGCTGAGGTTTACAGCCACGCTACCCGGGGACGGCATGTAAGTGAACGCTTTAATCCTAGTATTGGTGGGTTTGACACGTAACAGCTGACAGGAAGATATGTTGAAACTGATTGGTAGAGCAACTATTAAGCGCTTGATTTCGCCGTCTCTAGTAACAGACGTCAGATATGATGATCTCATGCAGCAACTGTTGGTTCGCGTATTCCCGCACACGGATCAGCTTACAAGTGTTTCAGATAGGTACTCAGCCATGACATAGCCATGCATCTGCCGCATGGTGTGTAAGACACTTGATAGGGCTGGTTTCAGTACCTATGACATATTGCTTGTGGAACAAGAAAGTTCTGGCACCTTTCCTTCGTATTACAAGGCAATAACGATGGCCAAAAAGAAAGGGGCAAAACATACAACACCCGGCATTCGCTGGTCGTCACCGACCCAACTACTACTCGAGCGCTCCTCAGCTTGACAACCGGAGAGCAGACGGGATCCTGTATTCTATGAGGGCTGTGGTCGTATGTGACATGGCGGTGCGCTGTCGTCGGTGATGATGCTGGGGTCTGATTTGTAGTGGCTGGACTATAGGCCAAGATGGAGTTGGTCGAGGCATGAAGGCGCCCAGAATGTATCAACAACCCAGTGAGTCAACTTGCCAACTTGCCAACTTGCAGCACATCCGAAATACCTCGAAAACTCTTAGAGTTCCATGGATGTTACCAGGACCAAGTATGGCTTCGTCAATCCCGTCCCCAGCAACGGTAGCGGATTCGAGTACATAAACTTGAAAAGAGAACATCAACACTGCCCCCTCAAATATACGCCCCCTGCCAGGCCGAGTTCGCCGATGAGCTACGAGCCACGCCAGAACGGATTCTGGGGCTGTCACCATATACCTGAGTCGAAAAGTTCAGAACCAACCGATTATCATGGTGCGAGGGCAACGGCCGCTGAAACGACCCCGAAGAGTATGTTACGTTGACCAAGTCTGACGCCAATAGCGGACTTCTCTCTTTGGTAGCCAAAGACGTGAAGAGCGCGTCTTATTTCGCTCCAAAGAACCGGAAACCATCACCGCTGCTTCAAGAAGTCGGGTCCATGGCTGGCTTTAGCCTAGAGGTCTTCTTTCGGTTGTTCGACGTATTGTTCTAGGCAAATGGGATGATATGGCAGGCTACTGGGTGAATAGCTCTCGTCATAATGCCAACTTGATGCAAACTCCCTCGTCAAGACCCTTGTACTTGTCAATCTGGCCTGGGCTACGAGCCTTCTTTGCCTGAGACGATAAAGTTGTGTTGCTTCCCTTTGCCGTGGTTTGGTCGCTGAAGCCTTTCTTCTGGAGGACTTGTTATAAAGTTAGCTAAGATTTATTTACCGATTATTATAGATAGATAAGAGGAGTAGCTTATAGCATCCGGTCAGCTCGCCAAGATCGTTGAGGAGTTCTTTGAAGATGATGCCGGAGAGTCGCCGATCGTCGACGCACTTTCCCGGATGACTGCACCCCGAACCCTCACCTTGGACCTCGAGGGATCGTCTGCCGACCAATCCCACAAGTTCCAGGTATTCCTGGAATAGACGCGAAATTGCGACATTGTGCATACACTCAGATTAAAGGAAGCATGAGCGCCTCGCTGGAGGAGTCAAGTGGACAGGGGCGCAGGTGCAGATGCTTTTATGGAGTTTATTCGATCTGTACACTACAAGCTATGAAGCTCTATTAAACATTTAGTTGGCATCCTTGGGAGTGCCTTTGGCGCTCCCTTTTAGCATCAAATGGACCAACTTGGCTACCAGCAACGAACCGCCTGAGCATTGCTCGCCTTGATCCTTGCCATGCCTCTCTGGCTTTGTCAGTACTGCTGCCATAGTCCACAAGTAAAGAGGACATAGTAAGGACGCAATGGCAATGTAAGTCTGGGAAGGATTGGGGGGCTCTCGGTAGTTATGTCGGTTCCTTGATGCCTGCTGTCTCACCATGCCGCTCGTTTCCGATTTTGGTCTGGTTGAAGATTGCTGTTAGTGTGATGCTTCTAGTCGGCTTGGAGATACTCACCTTTGGGCTTGCCTAATAACATCTTGATCTCGTACATATGTAAGGAAAGGTGCCGTCGTTCTCAGGTTTAAGAACTTCAGCTGCCAGAACGGCGTTGGTTGGAAAGTCTCTAGAAGCCCTTCTGTCGCTTGATAGGCCGAAGAGAAGACCCAGGTCGGGCGGGAGGGGGTCGAGCCTTCAAAGTAGCCTTCCGTCCCTCTTCGATGAGAGTGTCAAGGGCAGCTTGGATGCTTCGAAGGCGCTCATCACGGCCCCAGTCAATGATGTTGCGAACATACTTGCGGAACTCAATGAAGTGGTCGGGTTCCTGAAGAGCAAAGCTTCGAACCTTTTGGACGTTGAACAAGTCCTGCTGCTTCCACGAGATGAAGAGACGGGCCTCGGTGCCGTTCATGGCGATACTGAAGGAGGCACTGTCGATTTGGCGAACCTCCTGCCGACGGCACTGACGGAGTTGTTCATTGAGGCGTTCAGCAACGTTGACGCACGAGGCAGAGCCACCCAAGCATTGGTTAGTCGCGACCTACAGACTTCCATTGCTTGAGGGTCCATCTCCCTTGAATTCAAGAATGAAGAACGGGAAGCACATGCCCTCGTTGTTCATGGCAGACATGTTGGGAGTCTTGCCAAGCTGCATTTTCTGGGCCGTGGTGAACGCGCCGAGGTTGTAACCAGAAGTGACGTCTGGAGTAGGGTTGCTGACTCGGTATTGGGTTCCAGTGTTGGGAACCGCGTGCTTCTGGAAGGGGGCTTTATCGCTTCGCTTCAGAGGGTCGTTGCGGGGGCGCTGGGGAACCAAGTTGTTCTGGAAGTATTGTTCAACAGTGGACTCACCTGCACCTCGCTCGAGGGCAGCCAGACCATCATCAGCTAGGATATCACTGATGGATGGAGTGGGCGAGATACGCTGCCGCTGAACTCTCTGAACAAGGTTGGCAACGTGCTGGGGCAGTGGCTCTCGGCGATCGCGGTAGTAAATGTTGTTGGCCGCGAGGTTCAAGTCCTCGTACAAAGGATTCTCCACCAGAGAGCCAGTCCTACCACCAGAGGTTGAATCACCAGATGGGGTCCCATTTCGGGCTGAAGACCCAGAGGGGCCTCCGCGGCCGTAAGACGAGGGAGTATGAGGGAGACCACTCCCAGGGCGGCTTGGAGGAGCTATGAGGATGGTAGCTGGAGCTGAGTGAACAATTCGAGGGTCCGCTGCGGTGAAAGATTGAACAAAACCGTCAGAGCGAGCGTCTTCGTCTCGACTAAAGGGGTAGCCGGTTTCGAGCCAAGTTCCAACCCTGTCAATTGGCTGACTAGGTTGCGAAGAAGTGAGGCTCTCCAAAAAAGGGACGATTGAGAATGTCGGCGAGCGAGGCGTAGGCTGATGGATCATCTTTGAGACGGGATGTTAGTGATGAATTATATGATGGGAGCGAGGATGGAAGTAGGAAGAGGAGATGGGATGAGAATGGGAAGGCAAAGAAGGTAAGGTAGGGTAATAAAATGCAGAGGATGGGAAGATGATAGAAAGAGGGTAACAATAAGACCAAGTAGACAATAAGAAGGGAAGAACGAGAAGAAGTACGAGAGGATAATAGAGGACGGATGATGAGGAAAGACGACGATGCGGTAACAGAGACAGGGAAGATGAAGGAGAAAGAGAAGGCAAGAAGATAAGAGGAAGACAAGAAGAAGAAGGAGAGCATAATGGTAAATGGTGGAATTAGGATAGTATAGAAGAGGAAGAAGACAAGAAGTGAGCAAACTAATACGAAGAGGGCGAGGGACAGGGCGAGAGCAGCAAAATGAAAGGGTCAAGATAAGCAGAGGACAAAGATGCCAATGAAGAGAAGAAGAAAGACAGGAGGGAAGGAAACGGTAGGTACTCACAAGGTGGTCTTCTTGCTGAAGGTCTTGCTCAAGGCAGACTCGCTTGATGGCCTGAGGAGGCGATGTGGAGAGGACCCTGTCAATAGGGCGCTTGTTGGAATGTTCAAGCAGCTGATTGATTGGATCTTCTTGGTGCGCAACTTCCATGGTGATGAAAGAAAAAGAAGAAGAAAAGAGGGAAGGGAAAAATCTATGGGCTTTTTATCTTTGTGTGCTCGTTAGCGATCACTGTCAGCCGGCCGTCAAGCTGGCAGTCCTTCGGGTCGGTTGTGGATTCTGTTGACAGTGCCAGGAAGTGTCAGGGCTGCATGAATACCGAACGAATTCTGTGCAAGAGGGTGTGTCGTCGTTTGAGGTTGGGTTGAGGGACTGGGGGCTTGGTGTAAGTGTTCGAGAAGAGCATGCAGTGCCTGGTGTCACTACGGCAGCTTGGACTTGATGTGAATGCGGTGGAACCACGCCAGCTGTTAAAGAGAGTGTACGTAACCTTGGCAATGATTTCCTTCTCAAAATGCGAATCCCAAATGATGACGATAATTAGAGGGGCTATTGCGTAGCCCATACTCTTCTCGGGATGCTTGTCCTTTAACATCTCTATTATAATCACGATAAGTGTGCAAGACCATTAACTCAGAATCCCTCGTGTATCTAACTCATAGAGGTGGATTTAATCTTTATGGATACTTGGCTAAAGGGGAAATAGGTGTCAGTGGTGAGGCTTGTTGCTTGACTGTCCGGCTGTCGCTCGAGGTCAACTCTCACATCAGATGTGAGGTACGGGAGCTCTCAGAAGACCTTCGCCAGCGCTGTCGAGTGCTTAAATGCGTTGCGTCTGTCTCCGTAATTGTACAAGCACAACCAGTGTCGAGACCATGAATCACTCACCCTTAGCGAGGCAGTGAATCACACACCTAACCCAGACGTGGATGTCCCTGCAGCAAGCGACCCTCACATTAACCTCGAATCGGGGAGCAAACGCTTGGCCCACCGATTGCAGCAAGGCTCAGCCATCTCAGCTCCTCAAGCTAGCCCATTCGAAGCTCCAGGTCCGAGTACGACCCGGCCAACTGGGGCCGAGAGTGTGTGAAAGTTACCGTTGAGATGGATAACGTTTTTGAGTCGCATGATAAACCCGGCCCGCACCGCATCATCTCCACTAACCAGAATCCTACTAGCTCGTTTAAAGACCACCATGTTTCTTCTCATGAGAATCTTCTTCTTCACTTCTTCTTCATCGCGATGATGACTTTGCTTGTCATGCTTGACAGGCCCAAGCTAACGTCGATGACGTCGGTCCACTTTCGGCCGAACGCTCCGGCCGTCAGATAAGCGCCACTAAAACAAAACATGGCCCCCACCAACAGCCCTAAGAGCGCCCCCCCGTCAAGCTCCATCGGCGCTTCGCTCGCCATCAAAGTGCGATTTCCGGCGCTTCCGATCATGCCTCTTTACGGTTGCAAGCTCTTTCGCTCTCGGTTTTTTTCTTTCTATCTTCTCTTTGATCCCTCCCATCCAAACCCCGGACGTTGACCGGCCGGAATACCCTCTCTTGCCTATCTTTGTCTCCGATCTCGCATCTCTGTCAATATGACGACTGACCATGATGCTCATGGAGCTCCGGCTGCCCGCGTCAAGTCCTCAGCTTCGACAATCGGTGACCATGCTTATCCCCATGGCCACCTTGGACACCTGAACCCAGGCCAGGAGGAAGCCTTTGTTCAATTCAAAAAAGTCCTCGAGGAGCGGGGCCTGCTGAAACGCGGCCCTCCAGCTTCTCACGACGACCCTCTGTTGCTGTACGTGGGCATCCATGGTTGATAAGCGGTTGGGCTTGTGCTGACATTAAATTTCAACAGGCGGTATCTGCGCGCGCGACGATGGGTTGTCGAGGATGCCTACCAGCAATTCAAGGACACGGAGGAATGGCGCAAAGCCAATGATCTTGATGTGCTTTACAACACCATTGACCTCGATGCCTACGAGCAAAGTCGTCGTCTGGTATGCGCTCCCAGCCGGAATCCTCGGTCTGACATGTTTTGGTGCTGACATTTTCTAGTACCCCCAATGGACAGGCCGTCGCGATCGTCGCGGAATCCCCGTCTACGTCTTCGAGGTAAAGACTCTCGACAACAAGACTGTCCACGAGTACGAAAAGGTCGGCGCTTCCACCACCTTCTCCCAGGCCAAGGCAGATGGCAAGACTCCTTCTGGTCTGTTGCGCCTGTTTGCGCTATACGAGAACCTGACACGGTTCAACATGCCCTTCTGCACCCAGCTGCACGACCGTGAACACCCCGAGGTGCCCATCACACTGAGCACCAACATTGTCGACATTTCGGGAGTTGGGCTCAAGCAGTTCTGGAACCTGAAGCAGCACATGCAGGCTGCGTCGCAACTCGCCACGGCACACTACCCCGAGACTCTGGATCGCATCTTCATCATTGGCGCGCCCGTCTTCTTCAGTACTGTCTGGGGCTGGATCAAGCGCTGGTTCGACCCCATCACCGTCTCCAAGATCTTTATCCTGGGCAGCCATGAAGTAAAGACTGTCCTCGAGCAGTACATCGAGCCTCGAAACATTCCTAAGAAGTACGGTGGCGAGCTCGACTACACTTTTGGACAGCTGAGCATTCCTGACCCTCATTGGGATGGCATTGTGAAGTTTGAGAATGGTTACAAGGGCTTCCCCAGCGGACCGCTCTTGTGGGAGAACATTGAAGGCGACAGGTTGGCTTGTGTCGCCCGAGGATACAAGGGTGGCAAGCCTCGGAATGAGAGAGTCTGCACTATTCCCAAGACCTTTAGTGTCGCGCCCGTAGAGGCCAAGACCAATGGCGTCAATGGCGTCAGTACTGGAACAGACCATGACGTCGCAGAAGGAACGCAAACCACAAGAGTCGAGACCCACGATGACGGCGTCCAAACCGACGACGCCCTCATGAACGATGTCCAAGAGAAGCTCAAGATTCAGGACGACAAGCCTGCCGCTGCACAAACAACCACGGCATAATCACAAGTTACATATATACCATAGAGAGGAGGACGACATATTTTAACATACCCTGGCGAGCGGCGATGGGGAGAAATTTGGGAAAGAGAAGGGAACCTGGATGACTTGGCAACATGGAGTTTTTAGTTTAATTGCTTCGTTGTTATCGGCATTCTATTTCAGAACCGCGAGACAAACGATGCGGTTGGTCTTTGTACCCATCTCAACCTTAATCAACCCGTCTTGATTATGATTCCGTCTATTGTTGCGTCCCCAAGCGATGTGATATCCTTCGTGAGACGCCATCTATCATCTGAATCCAATATCTTGAAACTCCAAAAGCAACCCTTTAGTTTATCACGGCAACTCTGTAGCATCTGGCATCTTGGCAAATCCTCTCCTCTTTCTCCACTCATTCACTCCCGCCTCGACTTCTCCCCACGAAACACCATCCCTCACAAGCCACATGGTCACTCCCAGACTCTCCGTATCGCGGTTCCGGCTCTCGTCGTCAAAGAACAGCATATCCTCGTATCGAATTCCCGTTCGCTTCTGTAAACTCTCAAAGTGCCGTATCTTGCTCCCAGGATATATCTCTAGCAATCCATCAAACACTTCCAGAGCGCGCTTCGGCTTTTCAGGCTTGCCCATTGGTGGTGCGGGAGTCGCGTCGTCGGTCAAGGGCGTAGGAGCGGGGATGTGCAGCATCTTCAGTAGGTCGCGCGCAAGGCCAGGCGCAGAAGTTCGTGATGCGACGCCGATCCTAGGTCCCGCGCGAGGGAGTGTGTACAGAATACTGGGAACATCGCAGTAGAAACCGTAGTCCTCCCCGTAGCGGTCTGTCGCGCTCGAATGCTGGGCGTTGGGCTTGAGAGGCGGGGTGACGTGGGTGTCGACCCAGAACGGCCAGAGAGTGTAATCGAGGTCGAAGACGATGAGCTTGGGGAGTGGGAGAGACGGATCGGTGAGTGAGGGCGGGAGTAGAGAGAGAGCCGGGTTGACGGGGTTCCCTGAGGCAGTCGACGAAGTGGTTATCGTCGAAAGGGAGGATATGGTGGAGGAGCTCTGAGGGAGCGGGTTTTTGGATAGCTTCTTGGGCATGTTGAAGCAGGTCTAATAAAAGGTCGCAATATTTGGCACTGTGTAATGGAGCGAGCGAATATGGAGCGAAAGGCTTGTATTTGAGGAGGTTTTGATGGTGTTGAAGATAGTAGCGTTGATGCTGGATGTCGCCGACCTAGGACTTTTCTTAGCGCTCCCTGTATCACCCCGCGGTGGGGGTTTCAAGCTCGTTGTGACGTCGGTGCCTTATCCAGGCACTCGTCTGAACAAGACAAACTGCTGCCTCGAGCAATCTCGCCATGAATAATAGCCCTTGAAACGTTTCTGACTATCATAGAAATAGGTTCTAGAATTGCAACCAATCTCCTGCCAAGCTGTACTGCATGGGCAAGGTGGCTGGCCAAATCTCATCTTGCAGGATTAACCGAAGCAACCTTGTTGTGTTAGGTCTATCATGTAGGCAGCCTCATTCCGAGCTTCCAACCTCGTAATAAACCTCAATATCGTCGTTTTTATTCGGTCAGCTGTTATCACATAACTCGGGTCACCGTTCGCCGAAACCGCCAGACTCGAGACGAGTTTGGGACTAGCCCAGCGGAAACATGTGACCTTGATGGAATATTTTCCGTCATTATCCTCATCTCCAAGCCAAAGAACGCTCAAACCAATTCCCAACCGGTTAGAACGTCCTTACCCCGCACTTCAACCTCCCTCTCTTTGCATGAAAAAAAGTCTCCCAGCCAGTCGAGGCTAGTCGGGTTTGCGGGGAGGCAAAAGAGTTGGTCTGCTGAGTCATGCAACCCTGGCTCTAGCGCGGGTTTCTGGGAAATGGAGGGGATTCGATTGGTCAGGGCAGGCGCCACCCTCCACTGGGTTCCGGGGGAAATTTCCCTGTTTAGTGAGTGACCATCGCGCCTTCTCCATCTCTCCATCCCGCGTGAACATAATCAATCCCTCTTTGCCTGAGGCTGCATTTGACGGTCCCGTCGCTTTCTCCTGGGGAAAAGGAGAGAGACAAAACAAGAGGCGCAAAAGACGGTAAATATGAAGGCTTTATCAGATTGATCCTCGGTTTCATCACTCCTGAGCACGTCGCAAGGCTAAAGATATCCCATTCAACTCGTCTCATCACTTGGAGAATCGCCTGAGACAGGGATCTACCGGCACATCACTCATCCACTCACCAACACCGAGTACTCGGTCATTCGTCGGAGAGCAAAGAGACATTGCATTGAAAAGGAACATCCAGTGACGGCATCTACGCATTGAGACAAGACATGGCGAAACGATCCTGGTCAGACTCCAACGGGCCAGCTCCTCCTGGGGCCGCCGATGCGAATGCGACGCCAGCCGTGGTAGGTTCTCAACCAGTCTCAACAATAGTATCAGACACAACTAACAATATCAAGCCTGTAACGCCTGCGCGCTCCAATAGCAACGGCAACGGCAACGGCACGCGACAGAGTGGGAGCCGACAGAGCATCGGTGGCATTATATCCAATGACCTCCCCATCCCTCAGATCTCTCGCAAGATCAAGGCTTGCGCGGCATGCCGGAAACACAAGGTGAGATTTAACCGTTGCCTGAGCCAAGATGGTAACTAACACTCGTTGCCGACAGATCAAGTGTTTGATGGATGAGAGTGGTCCACCGTGTCGGAGATGTTCTGAGCGAAATTTGGGGTGTGTCTTGAGCAAGAGCTTGCAGACCATCATTGATGAGAAGTCACAGTATGCGCCCTTCTCTCGCTCAATTTTGAGCCGAGATTCTTCATCTCACCGCTATGCGACTAACATGCTGGCAGATTCTCCGAAGCAGTGGTCCAAGATCTTGAGCAGATACATTCCGCTCTCAGGCAGGTCATGACAAAACTGAGTCTTCCTGAACTTCCTCCATTGCAGAGCGCCAATTCTCGAGACGCAGAGGGAACACCTCCCAAGGAAGACAATCCTGCCAATACGACAAACCGACTCTCCGCCTCTCAAGAAGAGCATCATGGCCCTTCGTGCGACAATTCTCCAAAGGCAACCCCTGAAGATGAAGGCCTCCCATATGTGCCTATTCACTCCCTATATACTCTCACCAAACTTAGTGCTCTACGCTCACCGGATAACTCGGAAGCTCAACGAGGTCGTGCCATTGACGACTTCATTGCACGCGGCGCCCTGGCCTTGTCTGACGCAGAGAGCTTGTTTGCTCTATACCGCGATCGCCTTGATCGATATATGTACGGCATTGGCTGTCGATATATGACACTAGACGAGCTCAGACGAAAGAGTCCGATTCTATCAGCTGCAACTCTAACTGTAGCTGCACTCCACGACCCCAAGGCCGATGGAATTTACGGCATCTGCAGCAGTGAATTCCGCCGACTGATGGAGAAATCCATGTTTGAGCGGCGCATTGACCGCGACTATCTACGGGCCATGTGTGTAGCCTCTTATTGGCTCAGTGACCTTTCGTGGATGCTCTCAGGATACGCAATTCGACGTGCTGCCGAGTGCAATCTACATAACAGCTATAGCCAGGCCATCAAGGAGCAGAGCCAGGAGGCAGCAGATTGTGCACGGTTATGGTATATCCTCTACATCTGCGACCAACATCTTGCGACTCTCTACGGGCGACCATCTATTGTTCAGGAGGACTCGTCTATCCAGGGATGGGAGAACTTTCTTGAGTCTCCCGTGGCTACCGAGGAGGATAAGCGTCTTACTGGACAGGTGGCCCTGGTTAGCATTCTACGAAATATCCGAGAGCTCTTTGGCACCGACAAGGGGGAGCGTATCTCAAGGGTTTACCTTAGCCACATATCACAGTTCCGACGACAGTTGGATCAATGGTATGATCGGTGGCTAAAGGAACTGCCAGGTGAGTAGGCCATGGAGCTTAGCAAGAAAGTTGCGCTGACAATCACAGAACAATGGCCTCAAATCGGATCGTTCCCTCGAAAGGGCACCATCCTTCACTACAACTTTGCCCAGATTCACCTCTACTCACACATTTTCCGTGGACTGGCCAACGATGATCCGATCCCTCATTACTTCCTCGACTGCGCGTCCAAGGCAGTCACAGCTGCAACCGCCATTATCGATCTCATCATCACCGATCCTGATGTGGCTGTAGGAATCGTGGGTATGCCTTCATATATGCTCTCCATGACGGCGTTTGCCTGCATGTTCCTCATCAAGGTTGCCCTCAAATATGGCGGGGATCTCATCGAGCGTCAGAGGGTGCATGACTTGACGACTAGCCTGGTACACCGATTCCGATCTCTCAACGCTGGAAAGTGGCATCTCGCGAACCTCATGGCCGGCGGCTTAGAGCGGATGACGGGGACCCTCAACTCGGTTGCGCCAGGGCAAGTCGGTCAAGCGCCCAACGGTGCTATTCTCGGGAACGGTATCAACGAGAATATCGATCTCTCCAACCAGATGCCACCGGGAGATCGTCCATTCACCGATATGGACGGTGACATGTTTTTCGATTACGACATGAGTTTCGGTCTCTCGCCCGTGTTCCGGTTCGATCCGAGCATGTTCACCATGGACGCGTCAGGCCAGTCGCTACCAACATATCCAGAGCCGGACTATGGCATGAGGCCACAGCCTTAAACATAACCAACAGAGTGAAAAGTCGTTTTTGGCGTGGGCGTTTTGTTTAGAGTGATGGAATACCTGGATATTGAATGTATCATACAAGTTTGGGAGGCAGGACAATGGGTCTGACAAATAATTACAGCAAGGAATCAAGTTTCAAGTCAAGATGTGGCAGAATGAACCTTTTGAAGTCATTTACGGAGGGAAGGCCGTTATCTGGACTAAACTACTGATAGAGTGTTAAATAGTCGATCATACACGACTCCTTTATCAGTAACTGACGTCAATGAATGATCATGGCCGAGCCTCCGGACTGGTTACCATGTGTGTGACTTGACAATAACTAGAGCCATGTCTCGACTAAACCGCCGACGACTCCGTCCGAGCCAAAGTCCATCCATCTCTGCTACTCCACCATGGATAACTTCTACTCCAACTTGGATCTTCCTCCTCAGTGACGGCAGGACCTATCTCATGATGTCGGAAATCAACATCGGCTCGGAAAACCCTCTCGGACTTCTCTCCGATCCTCTCTCCGCATGCATACCACTGCGGAGATTCTCAACCACATGAGCATCATGAGCCCCGCGATAGTGGACCATCCTTTTCACCTAAACTTGGTGGATACAAAACAACAGCACCATTATCTAACAAAAGATATCAAGAAACGCCACTAGATCTTATCAATCAATCCGACCTCGGAATACACACGGACCATCATGACGAACGCGAAGCATATCCTCATTACTGGAGCCGGTGGCTTCATCGGACAGGAGCTTGTTGCTCCGCTGTTGGCTTCGTCGCCTGACATCCATGTCACCATCACGGACCTTGTCGAACCGCCTGTTCCTCAAGCGGCAGCAAGTGAAGCCAGTCGTATCACGAGTTTGGCTGCAGACTTGACTTCTCCAGATGTGGTTGACAAACTCATAAGACCTCGCCGCTTTGAGGCCGTGTACCTCCTCCACGGGCTCATGTCAGGCGGGTCAGAGGCTGATCTTGAACTTGGTCTAAAAGTCAATGTCGATTCGGTCAGATCTGTGCTCGATGCGTTGAGAACAATTTGGCCAGGCACAAAGGTCATCTTCTCGAGTTCTTGTGCTGTCTACGGACCTTGCGATGGACATGTCACAGAAGCGGGGGTAGTGCCTCAACCGAGGTCGTCTTACGGTGCAGAGAAGCTCATTATAGAGCTACTGCTCAACGACTTTTCCCGCAGAGGACTCCTAGACGGAAGAATCGTTAGATTGCCAACTGTCGTGGTTCGACCGGGTAAACCTTCAGCAGCGGCGTCGAGCTTTGCGTCGGGCATTGTTCGAGAGTCGTTGCAGGGAATCCCCAACATTCTCCCAGTTCCTCGCGACATTGCAATGTGGATCTGCAGTCCTGCGACGGTGATCAAGAACTTAATCAGAGTCAAGGAGATTCCTGGTGACAAGTTTGGGGAGTCGAGGATTGTGAACCTTCCGGGTATTACGGTGACAGTGCAGGAGATTTTGGATGCCGTGGAGCAAGTTGGAGGGAAAGAAGCGGTGCAGCTCGTCAAGGATGAGGAGGATGAGGCTTTGTTTAAGATTGTGAAGAGCTGGCCTCCATGGTTTGATGATTCGAGGGCTAGGGGATTGGGGCTAGAGGCGGATGGCACGCTGGTTGATGCTGTCAAGGCGTTCAAGGCGAGATTGGGATGATCACTCACATGAGCTCTCTCTCCCATGAACTATGGGTTTATACAAGACCACCAGATATGATGTTCGTTCTTTAGCATGCATGTCGATTACATATACGCTCTTTATCTATTTAGCAAAGTCCCTGACAGACAAAAGGATTCGGATCAACGGCATATTTACCAATGCAATCGATGTCGAATCAAGAGACTACTTTTATGCCACTATCTATTAAGTCTATATCTAGTTTACTTCTCTAACTTCTGTCCCCATTTTCCCCTCTATAGCTTCGCCCTCATCCCCGACATTGGGCACGACTCGGCACCTCTAGATGGAACCAAATAGTCCACGTCCAGCGTGTTGACCAAGTCTGGTGTTGCTTGGTCCAAACTCGTCAGACCAGCCAACCTCAATGACGTCTCGAGCTCATCCTTGAGGACTAATGTATATGGTTAGCAGGCTGTCACCCCGGCTGATCTGGAAACTCACTTTGTGAAAGATGCTCCACGCCTTTTTGGCCATATACCAACGAATACAGGAACGGTCGCGCGATGCCAACAGCTGTAGCTCCTAGAGCAATCGCCTTTAGGATATCAGACCCTCGTTCGAAACCGCCGTCGATGAATATCTCGAGATGTTGGAACGCTTCGGGGAACCTCTTTCGAACTTCGAGAAGAATGAGGATAGATGCTTGAGCGCTATGAATGAGGTCAGCACATTTCTTTTATCTTCACGGCAGAGCTTACCCATCAAGTGATCTTCCTCCGTGGTTGCTCAACATGACACCATCTACACCATACTCAACAGCCAACTTCACGTCCTCGACAGTCTGCACACCCTTGAGTACAATCGGCACCGAGCTTTCCTCCCTAATCCACTTCAAGTCCTCCCAATTGAGACTCTTGTCAATGTACTGCCCCATCAATCTTCCCAGTCCACTGCCCTTATTATCCTTGCTACTCTCGCTCCCGCTCATTTCAGACTTAATCACCACATCTTGAGCTGCGCGTTCATCGGCTTCACGCTTGCCGGGGACGGGTGCGTCGACGGTGACAAAGATCGCCTTGATACCAAGGGAGCGGGCGCGGCGGAGGAGTTCGATTGTCTTGGGGCGGTTGGAGTTGACGTAGAGTTGAAGGAAGAAGGGATGGCCGGGAGGAGCGGCGGCGATGATACTGGGAAGGGAGTAGGAGGCGTTGCTAGAGATCTTGAAGACGTCAGCAAATTATCTCATCCAGGTGGCTTAAAACTCACAATCTCAAAGATACCCTCGCTAGCGGCAGCTCTACTCCATCCAAGCTCACCATCAGGATGTGCCAAAGTCGCCATGGCAGCAGGACACATGATGAAAGGCGCCCTGCTATCAAGCCCTAGAATCTTGCGATCTATCCTAACACTCGAGACATTTCTCAAAATCCTCGGCCGAAGCATGACTCGTCTAATAAGTTCGCGATTCTTATTCACGGTGATGAGATCTGTGGCGGCGGACGAGTAGAATGCCCAAGCTTTTGGTGTAAGAGCTTTTTGGGCGGCGAGGGCAAAGTCGTTTGCGGAGAGGATTTCTTCGAGTTTTGGGACGGAGGGAGGGAGTTCGACGACTGTTACAGGGGGGGTTGTTAGTAGGTGAGTCGTCAATTGGTGATGGCTTCACGAACCTCTTGGGGGTGGAATGTTGGGAGTCTCAGACTCCATAGCTGCGAGGTCACTCATGACTGCTAACTTGACAATTAGAAGAATTAAAGATAAAGACAATTTCTGAACAAGGTCTCTTGACTCTCAATGTGAATACCAGTTCAATTGATCTGTCAAGTCATGATACCTGACTACCTCTTGCTTATAAGCCACCCCAAGCTTTCCTCGTCCCCCGCAATCGGACCCCAAAGCTCCAATTCAAAGGACCAGGATCCGCTCGGGGAAGCTTGGGGCGAGTGGCTAAACCGAGGAGTGGACTTCGGACATGTTGCCGAGGGGAGTCTTGTCAAGGTTGGGACGCGGCCTTCTCTCCGACTGGCTTGATCTCAACTTCAACACTCCACAGACTACAATCCCAGCGTGCTTGCCGTTTACATTTCTTTTGGGTCACAAGGAATTAGTAAATTTGGACAATTCTTTTCATATGAGCCTTAGAAGTAGGCACCTGCTGGGCTGCGTACATCGTCTTGGGGAGGGGGTGTGAAAAGGGGACACTGTGTTGGCTCACAAAGCGATTGAGCAGGCACGTCAGGGGACCAAATCACAATTGAACGTGTATTTACTGATGCCTCACGAATTCTACACGAGTGCACGTGGTCAATATTAAACTATCGTCTCGGGCCGATCTGAGCCCTCGTCTGTGAGAGGAAAGGGACGCAGCTCTCTATGCCTTGTCGGCGTTGTCCCATCAACCCGAATTAAGTATCTAAATCTTCACGGCTCTATCCATTCTTCAATCTGAGAGAGCAAGTTATTCTACTTCATCGTAAAGTCTGTGCCTCGTAGGGAGATGGTACGTCGTAAAATGGGTTCCTCGACAGGTGGGCATGGACTCTCGCATAAGTTGCTCAGAGGACTCAAATAGCTTGGAATCCTAGTCAAATAAGGTCCCAGCTGTTTCTAGAGCTGATATCAAGCCCTTATTGGCTCAATTGTAGTGCTATGCATATACGTAACCCTTGCTTAGCCATACAAGTCCATGCTCGGTATCTTAACGCAGAGTCCCAACAAGTCTAGGTGCGATTCGAGGAAAGCTGGAGCGTGAACTGGGCGTTCTCAAGGATCAGAGTAGCACAATAACCAGGGTTGTAAGGGAAAGTCAAAATAGGCTTAAATATACATGCACCAGAAGACAAATGGCTCTTCCAGGGAGTCCACCCGAATGTGTTCATTTGACTTTTTCTACACTTTGGGTTTACGTTCAGCAATATCCTTTTTCTGCTCATCATCGCCAAGGTTACCTTGCTCTCATCATCTTGGCTACTTCACTGCTCTGCTACACATCTTTGCTCTGCAGGCCTTTACTACATGCCCATACATGACAGCCGTCTGCTTCATCAACTAACGTGGTAGGCAGACCACCGCAACAGCAACCCACACAACTTCAGAAACTGGCAAACATGCACGGCCATCTCGTTCGGTCGCTCCATTCAGCTTCCCCTCCCAAAAGTCTAAAGAGTCTTGAGTCTCAATGGGTCAGAGCTCGTTTCGCACTCGAGGAAGTAAACGATCGTCAGTGGGAGGTCAAACGAAGAGCATGCGTCAAGGCCATGAGAGGATTCAGGGTTAAGCTGACAACCATTGACGAAGTAGAAGATGAGTTTGCTCTTGTAGACGCAAATCCCTCGATGGCTGGCTCTACTACTCAGCTCTCTCTGCCAGAGTACACCGTCTCATCCACAACCACCCAGGACGTCCTTGAGGTAAAGGGTACTAAAAGAAAGACTTGTCGCAATGTCAGAGCCCACCACAGTTTTGCTGGGGCCTCGCCCAACAACCGGCGACAGTGCTCTGTCCCTACGCTAAGGACCAGGAAAGGAACCCACGTCAGCAGCTCAAATAAAGCTAGAATCGGGGTCAAAAAGAAGTCTCCCATCGCAGTCAGGTTCCGCCGCAGGCTGTACAGATCCAACAGATCCCCACTCGAGGCTCAATTATGTCGACCAGACCGGGCTATGAACAACAGCCGGAAACTCCTTAACCTCGACAGTGACCCCTGCCTGGGCAATACTCCCGTCCCTGGCAGCATCGTTACAGCAGAGATCATAACTGTTCAACCCAGCTTACAGGAATCTATAGCGAGAAAGAGGTGTCGTGATTTCACTTTCACCGACTGGTTCATCGCTGCCATGTTTGTACTTCAATACCTTGCCTGGATAACTCTGGGCTGTCTCTTCGCATCCGTGGTAGGGTCCTAATGGTCTTCAAGTTTCGCCTGGTTATGACTATGTCTTCCAACGAGTAGCAAGTCGAAGTTTGTCCTGCTTAGTATAGATACCCATTGTATTTTAGTAATGTAATAGAAGCGGATTTGCATCAACGGCCATCAAGTTGCTGTGCCAGAACATCACAATACGTTCCATTCTCACTCGCATTCAACTCGATAGAACCAACTGCCACAGCACCATCCTTTTGTTCCATTTATAATGCCACAATCCATGTGACATATGCTCTACCCCAGGTATGAGTTACAATCTTATGCTATCCACCCGCAGTCAAACCAAGACTGAATGACTCTCCTATCCGAAAATGAATCGCCATACTATTACAATGCTCCTAGATGAAAAAATGACCATGTATATACTTTGACCCCCTTACGCAATGTCCTCCCTACTCAATCACGATATCCTCCCCAAGTCTTCTCAGAGGTAGCTCGCCCACCATTTTCTCCACACTACCAAAAGTGTTGACAACGTCCTTTGACTCCTCTGAGAAACCCATACGCATGCGTCCGACACGCTCCCACACGACTCGTCCGTTTCTTTCGGTGCGTTCCACCACGAGAAGCATCACCAGAGACTCTTCGACGAACCAGAGCACCGTCATCTGCTCTCCCTTGGCATGCCTCTCAATGTACTCCCGAATTGATCCAGATCCCCGGCTCAGCCGAACATCGACGCTCACCCGGTTAAAGATCCAGCCCTCAGGGTGCGTCCGCGCCTTGACCCGGTCCAGCACAAACGGATTCGGCACGTGAATGCCATACGGACGGATAGGCAGCGACGGCGGCGCAGGAGGCATGCCCGTAGCAAGAGCCGATGCGCCAAAGTCGTACGCCACGCTGCCGTCACGGTTGACGAGGACAATGTTAGGCGAGTACGTCCAGCGGATCGAGTTGGGGTCATTGCGGGATACGTGTGTCGCCGTGACGTAGTGGTGGGCGTTGTACTTGCGCTCCCGAGCCTTGCTGTCCGGGTCCACGACAGTGATGGATGAGTACAGGTCGACGGGGCCCTTCCATCCAGCCCATGTCCAGCTGGGCATGTGGGGACGCCTCGTAGCTACCACGCCGTCTTTGTGATGCCAGAAGCATGTCGAGAGTGCAAACATGTCGCGAGTACGTGGGAGACCTGTAGCTGGCACCACCTGGTCCAGCTGGGGTGCCCAGACGGGGATGCCCAAGATGTTGAACATTTTGCCGGGACCAACTGTAGTCTCGAGTCGTCTCAGAATACCAAGGAACGCGTTGAGTGAGTCCTGGTCGTAAGTCAAATCGCGGCGCGTGTAGTTGCCGATATGTTGGTCAGCCTCTCGGAAGATGCTCAGTGTGCTGGGGTCCTCCGCCTTGCCAGGCAGTCTCTTCCATCGTTCCCAGCTGCCATCAACGAATGATACACCATTAAACAGACCCGGTCTCATAAAGTCGCACATTCTCTGCTCTTCCATGTCGTGGTAGAACTCGAGAGGCAGGATGAGTGACTCAGGACAACACATGCCCTCGCACTCCCAGTACATCTGCTGGTCGGTGAAGATGAGTCGCCGACGTGCCAGCAAACCCTCTTGATACGTCCAGCCTCGCTGGTACCACGCCGAGTTTTTGATAGCGAGTCTAGGATCTTGAAGACTCGACACGAGGGTAATGTCCGAGTTTACAAACTCGTACTTTGGCTGAGGGGGTCGATTCCTCGATCCCACGCCAGGGAGACCATAATCGGCATCCTCACCACATGCCGCGATGATGGCCAGGATAGCACCCTCAAAGATCTCATCCATCCTCGCAATCTGCTGCATCTTCTCCGCCGGCCGCGTGTGGTCGATGCATAGCCTGTCGACCCATAGATACCTGACACCGAGATCCTTCGTGGCGATGATGGCGTCCCAAATCACCTTGGGCCAGCTCCCAGGAGCTGACTTTTTGTTCCCCCACACGTAGCTCAATGCGACATATCGATCAGTGATGGATGCGTCCACAACTGTTGGCGGGTTCTTTGCGCAATCGACAAGTCGGAATCCGGGCATCTCATGTGTGATAGGTTTTCGCCCACAGCGGCCTTGGTGATAGAACTCGCAGAATCGCAGCCAGTCTTGGCCAATGGACATGTCAATCGTCTGCTCAAGCTCACGACCCCAGATTCCACGCTTCAACCAACCACTCGTGTCGGTGAATGAGCTTGCCCGTGAGTGCCTCCCCTCAGATCGCGCACTCAGAAGCTCAGTCGGGGCTGTATCAGGCATAGTCCGGTAAAGCATCCCCGAGTCGCGGAACCAGTCGGCGCTCACATCCCAGCTGAGAGCGCCATCGCCGCTCTTCTTGGGTACGACGCCTAGAAAGGCAGGGCTGAGTCCCTTGCTCTTGTTCTTTGCTCCATGGCCCTGCTCAAACATGATGTGGTTGTCAATGAGATAGTTGGTGTCTCTGCTCGAAAAGCCAGATAGGTACAGATCGCCCTCTCCTTCGCTGGGAATGTGCACGGACAGAAACAGCTTGCATAGAGGGCACTTTGTGATGAAGCGATTCTCCTCAAGCTCCTTCAATCGACCCATAGAGTGCTCCTTGTTTTCAAAGGTGTCTGCCGCTGCCGGGTCCAAGGCCCTCATGAAAAAGTCGTCCATGGTGTCAAAGGTAGAGTCGATATCAGCCGCCCAGCCAGCGCACGCCCGGCAAAGGTTGGGATCCTGAGGCTGGCCACCCGACCTGTCGGAATGAGCTGAAGGGCTGCGGCTCTTTCGCCAGCTGATGCGTCGGATGAGAGATGCTCTCCGTGGCTGTCGGTCCTCATCTTCTGGAGGAGGATCCACCGTCAGATGCTGCATCATGTTCTTGAGAGGATTCCGTGATCGCCGCTTCTCGACGCCGCCGGGCGACACCGGTGGCGTGGTGAAGGGTGAGCCAGGCTCCAACGTCTCTGGCATGATGGCGGATGGTATGCTTCAGATCGCACACAAATGATGTCAGACAGAAGGATTGAAGACGGAAGAGAGGTCAAAGGAGACGCCGTGGACGCTCCGTGATTCTCGGGGTCGAACCGGTGGTGTCTCACGGCTATCACCCCCCGTCTCGGCTCCTGCTTTCCGGGGTCCCACTCTTGGCTCTGCCTGAGATTGATGGCTTGTCCCACCGGCGCCGAAAAAAGACAGGGGCTTTAGGGGGCAAATCTAGCGCGGTCGGGGCGATATAAGAAGTTGAGTAAGAGAGCCTCGAGTCAAGCAAGCGAAATGGTTTTTGTCAAGGCGGGAGATGATGGCCTCTACCCCGGCGGACAAGGCTTGGTAGGCTTCTCCAGAGCCAACGGCGTTTAGTGAAGCGAACGGCGTTGGAGACAAACGAGATGAAGGCGGTGCAGACTGGGCTTGCCGCTGAATGGATAGAGGTGGCTGCTGTATGGTCCAGTATGGATGGGAGGTGGTGGTGAGGCGGGGTTGGAGGACAAGACGTTGGGGGCCGAGAGCTGAAGGGGGAAGAGAAGTTTGTCTCAAACGTGACGGGATCAAGAGAGATGAAGTAGTTGAGTCCAACGGTTGCCTTGTCTTGTCGCCTTTAACAAGAGACAATATCCCATCCGTGCCTTGCCTTGGCCCGCCTTGGCTTGCGAGATGACGAGAGCAAGGATTCACACGATATGGATCCTCCCCCTGGAGTCTGGGGCCCCTAGTGGTCCAAGAAAAAAATGGCACACTTCGCAAGTACCTACTCTGCCTTTTAATCTGCTGAATCACAGCATAAAAGGCTTATGATTATAAATCTAAGAGTTTATATAGAGTTTAGAATATTATTTATTTATTTTATATTTTTATTTATTTATTCTGATCTAACCTATATCTATATAGCCCGGCAAAGGTCTCATTGCCTACCTGCAGTATGCCATTTATTTCTTGGACTTGGTGGGCCCGAAGGAAGGAAATCTGGTCGAATGGCGCCAGCTGAGACAACCCACAGCGACCGACGAGGCCAACAAACGTCAGTGTCTATTGGTCGAAAAGCTAGCGGTGTGCTGTTTGCTGGGTGTCTATGCTCATGTATGAGCAGCCGCCTGAGGCTATCGCGCACTCCTGGGTGGACGAGGCTGGGGCCCGTGTGACACTGCCTCAATTGAGGCGCGAAAAACAAAAAGGATGCGTTGTTTTTGATGATGTTTGATTCACCAAGGATCCAAATTTAAGAATCATGTTTCTTTGTGAGAAGGTCCCAAGCCTTGGCTGTGTTTCAAAGTCACGGGCATGATCATGTGGAGACACAGAAACGCGCCTTTCTTTCTTGTGCCAGGTGCAGCTATTCTCGGGATGAACTTATGACGTAGCCGGGCGCTTCACCAGCCAAACTCAACAGCCTGATCACGGGCATCTCACTTGGCAGGTATTTCTCGCACATTTGTGATTTGAAGAGTCACTGCGTCTTTAACCGGGCAAATTGTGCAAATCTTTTTGAAAGGCGCAGTCGCTGCCTTGGTTTCAACCCCGCCCGCGGCTGAATCTTGACATGCCCAAAAGCGGCTGATCTCAGCTCTTGGCCCCAACACAGCCCAAATTGCAGCGATTCTGCGCCCATTTGTTAGACGAGGTATTTTTAGATACTAAGGTCTTTGACAAGGAGATTTTTCACGAAGTAAAATATCTTTTGTTAGCTGGATTAAACTCATCAAGTCTGCCTTGCCAAGGAACATGTCTGTGATGAACATTTACCCTAAACCGCTCACCAAGATGTCTGTCGATTCACGGCGTCTTCACTGTCAACCCTACACTCTGTACGCCTGTATGATCAGGCTCATGGTTGTAGGGTAGTCGAGCAAACTGATTAACCCAAATAGACGCTATGATATCTCTACAGCTTACATATACGCCCATAGAGTCCAGTCCACCTGCGTATGTGACCAAATAGACACTTGAAACGGTAGTATATCAACCATCCATCACTACCTCGGTCACCCACAAACTAGTCAAGTTACTGTATTCACTATCCTTCTTCAACACCAAACCAACACCAATCCATCCATCTCGGCACTTCTCCTCCTCTCCACTTCCCGACACGGCCCTTCCTCCCTCCCGTCCACCCCCCACGCCCAAGCAGCACCCTTCTTCTCCTCTATCAGACTAGCTTCCCCCAGTAGTTCGTCTCCCGGCTGCGGCGGTAATCGCCAAATCTCGGGTCCCTCGTTTCAGATCAGCAATCATCTGCCCTTCCTCCACGTTGCCTTGTGACGTCGCTAGCTCATCTGCTAAAGACGCCCTATCTTGAAGCCACGAGGCAGATCTTATCACGAGCCGCTCCGAAGGCCGATGTGCCGAAGATTTTAATCACAGGAGAATGTCAAATCGAAGCATCAAGTCACAGAAGAAAGTCAAGAATCTCAGGCATGCGGGCTCAATTCACATCTAGCGCTGCGCTACCTCGAAAAACCATGGCGGTCACAGTCGCTCACTCGCACGTCTCTGTGCCACTTCCTAAATAATCCAATCCATTGTTTGATTGCCAATCCGACTCTGCTCGGTTGAGGGGATGCTCCCCTATTGCGTATCCGTGGGAGACATGGTCGTTACAGGCCTGGAGGCTTCCAGAGGCGAGTGTTGTCGGTTTGAATGGAGTCGGGAAATTTAGTGCTGTGAATGTTAGAGACTGTAGAGTAAGACACTGGCTGGGTACTTACCTTGCAGCAAGAGCAGGTGCTGCAGGCAGAGTTGTCGTGGTTACAGCAGGAGCTGGAGTCTGTTAGCCAGATGATCAGGAGAATGATGGTCATCTCGAGTCGATTCAAGCCCATCTGCAGAAGCCAAAGCACTCGGCCAAGGCCTTCTGTACAAGAGACTAGGAGACTCGAGGAGCCATTGATGAGGAGGTGCTCACCAGGGAGACATGTTGATGGTTGTTGGTGAAGAAAAGTCTTCGAAAATGTTGTATAAGTGTTTGATGTGAGTGTTGAGTGTTGGATGCTTGTTGGATGCAGAACAAAAACTCGATTTGGAGCGGGAGGACAAGCCCTTCTTATACCTGTTCAAGACGGAGCAGGACCTCCCCTTCATCCCACCCTCTCTTCGAGTCTCTACCATCCATCCTCTTCCGTTGCCTGATCATCGTATGCTGGCGTGGGCGTGGGAGGTCGGAGTGGGAGGTGCTCCACTCCTCCCCGTGCAAGGACAAGTTCCGTCTCTTACACTCAGAGACGGATGTCCAACCATGGCCCGGGGGCCTTTCCCAATGTCACGCGGCACCGACGCCTCCCACCCCGCATACACATGTATAGTGTAGGAGGGCTTATTCCCGTAATTGGCTGGGGCCATGCACGCTGCTTTCGAGCACAGCTTCCCGCAGCACACCTCTGCAGTGCGAGCTACCCGGCATGTTTCGAGTTCCCACACAAGCTCTGTTTACTCATGCCCAGATGCAGCGCCCTCCGCGTTGAGCTTGCCTCCCTCAATGACGAGCTTCTTGTCAAAGTTGCCGGCCGGCCAACCGTCGTGAGAATTGCGTCGCACTGCAGCGTTGATCCTACAGAATCGAACGGTCCATGCCGAGCACAGCACATCTCTTGCGGGTGGGGACGAAGCCTATCCGGATCTCTCGAGTTGGTGTGATTGGCGTGCGGGTGAGGCCTTCTGCTGACCTCTGAGTGGGATCTAGTCGGGGGGCGGCCACGTAGGGGCTGCCCCAAGGCCGGGACCATGTTCCAAAAGGAGGTATCGAGCGCCTGTAGCTGAGTCCGGATTCCGATAGCTCAGGCTAGCTGCCAGGTACGAGAGACGGTACCTGGACATGGTGATAGGACTTGTAAGCTCCGGGTGGGGGTTGACTAGGCCGTCAATGGGAACCCGGTTCTCATAGAGCCGGGTACCGAGCAGAGACATGGGTTCGTATCTGTCGTCCACATCGGTGAATACAAGCTGAAGCTTGGGGCGTGCGACGGTGGTGAAGCTCTGTTACACTTGGAGACCCTGCCTGCGTGGCGGGCTGGGGCACAGTTCCCACTTCGGCATGACGGGCAGGCTCGTCCTGTACGTGGACAAATGAGGAGGCCTCGAATGCCGGATGAGGGGGGGCAACACGGCGTGGGTGTTGTAGTGGATCGTGCTCGGCGTGTAAGAGGGTGAGATCAGGGTGAGTAGACGTCGACGAGATTGGACCAGAGTAAAGATGGACATGGGGATCGAGTAGGACAAAACATGTGAGTGTGGATTGCACTCTGGTAACGACAGCCGCCGAGTGGAGCTCCGGATGGGAGCCGTTGTGCTGGGGACGGCGGAGCCAATAATGGGTGAAGCCAGAGTCGTGAATGACCATGATAAGGACGACAACATCAATTGATGCTGCGGCCGTCGAGATGGACGCTATTGCAATAATGGTGGCAGCGGCAGCAAACACTGCGACTAGCTCGACGACGTGAACCAGTCAACATCACGACGACAGAACGCGACGAACCAGTGTGATGTGCACGCGGCCAACGTGATGTGAAGAGGGAGTGTGAGGAGTGACATGGCCGCAGCATGAGATGAGGGATAATTGGGAAACGGGGAAGGGAGAATCCCAAGGTGGATGGGACCACAAAAGCCTTGGACATGGACCGCTCAGAGCGAACGGCTCAGGAAGCAACCTGGATCCGTCATGCATGCATCCCACGCATACGGTTTTAGCTGGACTGGGAGAGAGGGCAGGTGGTGTGTTGTACCAGAGGTACTTGGGGTAAATAATCGACAAGAACGCCCTCCAACGGCGTGCGTGTATACGACGAGCAGCAATGGGAAAGCCGAGGGAGGGAGAAGAGACGACAGCAGGGATGCGTCGTCGAGAACGAGGCAAACGGGGGGTGACTTTGTGATGAACCAACAAGCGTAGGACTACCACGCCGCCCGGTGATGGGATTTTAGTCATGGGAAACCACCGGGCTATCGGGTGGTGTGGGCGGCCCAGCGTGGGAGAGTGAATGGGATCGCAGCGTTGGGGGGAGAAAGGCTGATGTGGGAAAGGGGGCAAGGCCGCCATGACCCACGCGGGCGTGGGAGGGGAGGTCAGGCTCGAGGTGATCGAAACCAAGGGGAGAAGAGAGATGGGGGTAAGTTGGAGGTAGAAAGAACTTGACAAGAGATTTGACTGACAATGACAAGGAGATATGGTAGAGGGCGCTTACCTCGGCGAGAGAGAAATGCCCATCCAAGGCGTACATGGCTTCATGGTCGACCTTTGCCGATAGGCAACCCTCTGCCTCTAGACAAGTGCCTGCTTCTCTTGCTCCTTACGACTTGTAAGCACACAACGACATCAACAACTCCTCTCATCATCAACTGCGTCACATCCCCAACCACGGCCATTCTCGGGTCTAGGATGTCCTCCGGCAGGCATCACAGTGAGACGACCCGGATCAAAGCCCGATCGACAAGGACACGCGACAGTCGACTCGTTCCGGAAGGCAGCCGTCAACATGTACAGTCCTAGGAGAAGAACGTGGGATACGTTTCTTTTCCTGTAACTCGCGTCGCGGATACAGCGTGCCGGGATCCTCTTCTTCGTGGGGGAGACTGCGAGACGGTGAGAGTAAGAGAAACAGAAAGAAGAAAATTCTTCAACCTTCATCGTCAGACTCGGGGAGCAACACGTCCGTGGGAATGGGGCCATGAGGTCCTTGGACCATGCGAGTCGACGTGTATTGAGGCATATACCGTCTTTCGTTCCCGGGAGAGTTCCCAATCAATGTCAGAGACGGGGGGAACAAAAGGATGTTGACGTCTCGGTGTCAAAAGGGTAGAGGGAGGTCCTGCGAGTTCGTGACCGTCAGATGCTCGTGGCGATGGGCAAACATTCCTCAAGTTGAGGATGAGCCAGTCTCATCAGAGACCTGTGTCGAATTTGACCGATCCATGATTCTTGTTCGAGTTGTCTTGACTGAAGGGTCGGGAAGAAAGGTATGGTCCTCAAGGTGAGTTCCTCAGAACATGTCCAAGAAACCACAGGCCATCCAACAAGTACATGGTAAAAGCTCGACAACATTCATCCCCAGAAAGAAGCAGAACAAAAACCACCTCTCGGGGCGGCCTCATTCTTTATACTCACACTTTACCAACAAAAGACAACACCAGTCTCAGCCTTACCAATCCCCCCCTCACCCCTGGATCGTGGCTTGCTTCCTTGATGCAACGCTTCAGGATCTACAGAAAGGAATGATAAAAAATGCACGCCCATCGCGAAAGTCCTCATGTGGGCGATTTTGGGTGCGGTTGTACAAGCAGAAGTGGTGTTGGGGTGGTGTTTTGCAAGGAAAAAGAGGACATCAGGGTGTCCATCAAGGTGCGCGCCTGTCCATCCGGGTTCTCACTGGGAAGAAATGGGAGCACGCACGGTTCTTAGTGGTGCGATGCGAAAATACTCTAAAAAATGCAGAACTTGACTGTAAAGTTGATGTATATTACTATCTTTTTACCAAAAATTACTGTCAACAATGGGAGTGATTTTATTAGTTTACGGCGTAGAGTGGTGAGACTATGTCGTTTTGCGAAACCTAGTTGTTCTTGGCAGGGAATAGGCTTATCAACTCGTACTGGGGTGAGTAAGAGTCACTGGAAACTCGACTCACGAAAAACCCTTTGGAAACGAGAAAGAAAACATTGGTCGAACAAATATAATGACCCTTGCTAGTCTGTTCTATACCTATATCAACTTAGCTTCTCCCCCCTTTCCCGACTTGGCGTTGCCATATCCTCAGCCTTTCCCCAGATCGAATGCGTTTGCCCCCCGGACTTGATCACATCTCTCGTACAGCATGCAAGGCACAGATTCCGATATGAGAGAATCAAACTGTTTCTAGATGCAGTCGCATTGCATTCTGACCGGTTGTGGCACAGCAGCGTCCAGACTCGAACCCTGGCTCCTCCTTGACGTCGACCACCCAGCTTCTCGAAGACTCGACCCGAACGAAGGTTACTCGATTTCTTCGAGGCCAGAACAAGCTTGATCGGTCCCCGGAAGCGGTTACTTCATCTCAAGAGCTGTACAGGCTCGGCTATTATCAGACAACCCTCTGTCACTGCTCGATCGTCATCTACGTCATAGTTGTGCTGGTTCTGGTTCTATGTACCAAGAGGATATATCACAGCCTCACCTCAACTACCGCCTCTTGTTTCTTCTTTATAACCTCGATTAGTTCTCTGCTAGCTATACAACACTCTTGATAGACGCTGACTCCTGTTCCAGTCCGATCCTCACCTCGCCCTTTGAAATCTTTCGAGGTTCTCACGGCATACAACTCCCCATCGGCCCCCCTTCTTCAGACGACTCCCCCAACAAAACCACCACATACGACCATAGCTCGTAGAGAATACGGGGTCCCGTCCGCTCCCCCAGAGTCAAGCTGCGAAGCGCCGGATTAGTAGTTGGGTCGGTGACGACCAGCGAATCCCCGGTGTTGTATGTTTTTTTGCTCTCTTTTAACTTTTTGGTATTCTTCTTTGGTAGCTCGTTGTTGACCGTCAGTCTCAAAGGGTTGTCATCGATGCTCTTGCTCGTCTCTTTCGTGCCGCGACCCTCAACTCGTCGTCCGCAACATTAGATCGAAATCGAACCAGAAGCACCTGGACTTGACCCTTTTCGTCGTTGTTTTGCTCATGCGTTGGGATTAAACACGGATTTTGCTCGAATTTCATACCTGTTCGTTTCTGGATATCTGTAAACATGGGAAATGTTGTATGTCTTTGGTCCAACAACTGGTATCCAGCCTAGACATCACTGCCAAACCCCAAGAGGAGCAATGAACTATTGAATGATACATGTTATCCTCTGTAGTCATCCTACAGTATACAAGACCTCTTGAATCTCCCATGGCGTGGTCAACTATTAACGCTATCGAAGCTGCGTGACAGGCCATGTGATGGAGTTCCATATTGAAATCCCAGCCCGCCCTGATATGCAGAAGTACAGAACTAAACCCAGTGCCTCGGAACCCCGCGCGTTCGATTCAAGAGAAAGAAGGGCTTACTCTTACCCCAGGATCTCTGCGAGTTACCAAGTTGGGAAGCAAATCCAGTACCAAGCCAATCATGGGCTGCGTCAGATTAACACAGCTATAGTAGCGCCTGGTATACACTGTTTCTTTCCTCCAAGTCGATAATGGCTACGCTATCATCGAATGGTTGTTCAGAAGTTGATCTGTTCGATTGAAGCACGTTGATCTCTCGGCTCTGAGTTTTAGTCTTCCCCCTGATGCTCCCAGTCTTCCAAACTCTGATGCAAACCAACCATGCCCTACAAGACCAATTTCACTGCTCTATTCAAGGAGGTAACAATTGGCCAAGCTCATCAGTAAATCAACTGGTGCCATCCAGCTCTCACCCCTGTCTTAGTAGTGATAATCAGGCCAAAGCTGTTTGACACGGTTGGGAAACTGATATGCAAATACGCTCACTCCTTTCATGGACTCTTACCTCTTAACTTCCAATTTCTATCAGCAGAACTTGCCTTTTCAGCCAAAACACCGCATTTTATCCAGATCAAAGTAAGGGCACGCCTCCCCTCCTATTCGTGTCATATCTACTTACCTCCCTAAATTTCAAGGCCCCTCACCCTCGTAATTCTTTACCCAATTGCCTTTGTATTATTCTCCCCCCATCGTGTTGCAGGCCGGTTCAGTGAGTGCTCACATCAAACCAAGTCAGGCTAAGGGCTGCTGCTCTGTTGGGACTGCAGACACTTACCAAAGGCAGCAATGAACTCCTTGTTTAAGGCTCACATTACATATTTATGCTAGATATATGCTGCAAATGCTATTACGTGTAGCCCCAAGTAGTCGTATTGTCACCTCGGGTATTAAACAAGGCATCCGTGAGCCTTAGTAGTCTCGAATACCTAACTGGCTCCCACTTGATCACTATTTCTCTTCATCAAGCAAAACGTCGGTAAATAATACCAAGAAGAGATGAATACATTTATCGGTAGAATAGCATGAATCACAGTATCACACAACACCGCTTGACTGATCACATGCTATGTCGAGCGCGTGTGTCACCTTCAAGCGAACCAACTGCTGGGCCCAGCCCATCCCGGAAGGTTTGTACAAGTACCTCCCAAGGACCGTATGTGCGTATACCTCACCTCTCTCTCTATGCGCAAAGCTACCTATGAATAGGTGCAAGAAAGTATTGACCATCCCTATTCTAACCTTGCCTTGACCAGTATAAACCAGTAACCACCCAACGCCAAACCGAGGCGACATATGCGCCAAGAGTCAAAATACGACAGCATGAGCTATGCAGCAGCTAGCCCAGCTAAATGCTAGTCAATCAACTCAAGGAACCGGG